CGGCGGGTTTGCGGGCCCGGCTTTGCTGCCCTCCAGCCCGCAGCTGCCCTGCACACCGGCTCTGCTCCGGGAATGCAGTCCCCGCACGGTGCTCCACGGTTTTGGAAGTTTCTTTCCAGACACTGAGTAACCACTGCTGATAATTGTGTTGGTGGGCTTGGTTCTGAAGGTCTCGCTGCTTGTAGCTGGTGCATTGACTTTCTGAAGCGATTGCTTGATATGGTGTGGCGTGTGGGATCTTCAGAGTAGCGCTCTCCTCCCGAGGCCGCTGCTTTGCAGTGGATTCAGTGCTGCTTTCTAGAGCTGAACTACTGTTGAGATAATAATGGCTGTGTAAGAATCCCTTTTCCTCAGGTAATGTTTGATTGTAGTCTCTTTTGCACAATGTCAAATAAGTAAATTTTAATCTGAAATAAAGGAGCTTTTGTTTGCTTAAGAAACTTATTGTGTTCTAAGGAAACTAAGTATTACCTTGCTCTTAAGAGTAAGAACAGCCAAGGACATACTTCCCATGAAAAATAAGTGCCCTTCAGCAAGAGCAGGCTAAAGCCTGGCAGCTAAGGGAATAAGATGTGTCATGCTACTGACTTGATTTCTCCTTCTATTTTAGTTAATCTGACATGATGTTTTCACCTCTTGAGAATTCTCAAGGAACTAATATAAAATCAGACTTTTGAAAAAATTGTAGACAGACTACACACTTTGTTCACTGATGGTCTTCGTGATTTCATTAAGACTGCTATATGACAAAAGCTTTGTCTTGTGATGGCACATTTGGTTTGTGGTAGTTCTGTACTGCCTATTCTGTTCAAGCCACAAATGTTCATTTTTATGACAAAGTGTTGCATAAAATATAGTAGGAATGTATGGCTGGTCTACACGGGTGTGTGCTTTTATAATGAAGCATGACTTCATAATCATTTTAACTTTGGACAATTAGCCTGAATATTGCACTGACTAGTATTTGTGTTTACAGGGGCTTCAGGTATCTACCACTGACTGGCCACATCAATAAGATGCTGATGCTGCTGGCTATTCCTTCATTCTTCATCAGACTTTGGTGAGATTTCCTTCAGAAGTCCACATTGTCATGTGTTTTATTCTCTTCTGTTTCCCAAAATGACATTATTCTCTTCATGTAATTTTTATGTATGACTGAAGTATTTCTTGGTAGTAGAGAAAGGACTAAACTTTCTAGTTAGTAGGCAGAATGTCAAGGATAGGGCAGAGCAGCACATAAGAGTTAAGACCATAGCTGTTCTCAGTGTTACATTTCTCTTGAGTGGTGCATATTGTATTCTCTCTGGGGTGTTAAATTGAGTTACATCCTACAGTATATAGTCTACTTTAAACAGTCTACATCCTTTCATATAATTCTTTGTTAAAGTTGTGAAGCTCTTTGTTTGCTCACTCTCCAAATTTTTGTCACTTTAATTACTGGAAGGCAAAAGGTATTTGTAGTTCAGTCTTCTCTCTGCTCTGTGTATGTGCTGTGTCTCACTCCTCTTCAAGGAGTGTCCCTTGCTGCTGAGTGCTTTTCTTGCAGTCTCTGTTGGTTTTGTTTGCGGATGTTTTCAATAGCCATCCTTATGTACAGCTCTGTTTACACCATTTTCAGGCTTCTTAGGCTCAAGTTGGAATTATTCCTGTCAGGCTTTTGAGAGTAGCAAAGGTATTTGACAGACTTACGTGCACTGAGTTGCTCTCCAGAAGAGCTGGGAACACCAAGGACAGCACTAACAATATCTTCATGTGAATTTTGAAAGCCAATGCTCTATCAGTTTGTTTTGGAAAATTTACTTTCATAACTCTTAGAACTGGATACTCATATCTTTGCTTCTTAATTGCTGGGAACAAGAATCTGAAAGCTTCAGAGATTAGCAGTTAGAACACATGACCTTAGTTTTATGTATATAGGAGTTTAGGAGCTGTAAAAACATTCCACTTGTTTTCTACTGGAATGTTATTTACAGTGCTGTGTGTTGTTAAGACATCTTCATGGCAAAATAAATTAAAAAAACCCAGGAAAATCTATTTTTAATTGCTCAAGTGGTCTAACAGAGAGAAACAGGATAAAAAAATAGTCTGTTATGTTGTATATTTCCCTGGCTCATTATACTGTTGCTGGGTGAAGATCAATATTGCTGATTAACTTTGAAGTTGGCTCTTTGTAGGTGGAATAGATCAGCTTCTCAGTCTGCTAGAATAAAGTGGGAAGTAGATACTTTGAACTGAAAAGCTGTGTAAATCTTCCAGTTGCTCTTTTCACTAGAGACTTGAAATCCTGGTGAGCTAATGACAATGCTGTCGTGGTGTGTGTTTGAAAACATACAGATAAAAGCATTGTTTTTAGCTTCATTTAGTAACATCTTACAGAAGTTCTAACTTCTAATACCTCACTAGTCAAAGCAGGAACAGCATCTGCACCTTTGTAACAGGATTTTACTTCTGCTTCAGCTCAAGCAGAAATTGAAACTTGTCTGATGCTGTGCCTCCCAGCTCTGTGCTGTCACAGGCTGACCCTGGCTGCAAGCCAGATGCCTGCCAAAGCTGCTCTTATCATTCCCCTCAGGAGGACAGGGAGGAAAAAACACAACTAAAATTTTGCAGGTTGAGACAGGGAGATCACTCAAACAAAGAGACTCAAAGAAAGTAATTTAACTTACTGGTCATCAAACCAAAGTAGGATAATGACAAATAAGAACAAATCTAAAGATCTTTACCCACCTCTCCCATTTTCTGGGCTTAGCTCCACTCCAATTTCTCTACCTGTTTCTATCCCTGAGCAATGCAGGGGACAGAATGGCGATTGTGGTCAGTTCATAATGCTTCATTTCTGCCTCCTTGCTCCTCATGTCAATTGGAAACTAGGAAAAAACAAAAGCTAGTCACCCTATATGTGCCATTACAGCTGAGACACCCTCAAACCAAAGTATTTTATTGACATGTCATGAGTGATTCTTGCTTCTTGCTTATATCTGTTAGACAAGAATAACAGCAGTGGGGAGTTTGCTGTAAATGGGGAAGGAGAAAGAAGGTCACTCACAACAAAAGAAATAGTCAGAAGTTATTAGTGAGGTCTGATATCTTTGGGTACTGGAGTAACAATAAGGTGGGGTTTTGATTTTTCTGAAGAATAAGGTACTTTTTAAAAGAATGTGTATAATTTTGCTCTCTGCACCTGTATATGTTGACTTATGTTTGTAACTTATGATTCACTGGTCTTTTAATTTTGCAATGGTTTCCCAATTCCATTTAATTATAACTGAATATTTTGTAAGAATTCAGTCTGCATAGCACTGCAAAAGCTCTTTTGAACTGTAATTGAAATGTAGTTTAAGCTTTTACTGAGTAGATTACCCAGTTTTTGTGTCCATTCAAAACTACAGGAAATACTCTCTTTCCTGTTCTTTACTGTCATATAAAAATTGCTAAAACTGCTGGAAATTAGGGCTGTGGCTATAATACTGCAATCTCAATGTTCAGAAAACAGAAATTGTTTTTTGCTTAGTTTATTGAAAGTTACTGCAAACATTAAAAGATTAATAAGGTTGCAGCTTTTCTTAGATACTTGAAATAAAAATTATACTGCAAAGACAAAGATACCCCTAGAAGAAGTGAGATGACAATGCAATGAGAAAATACAGCAATAGCTACTTATTGCTAGATCACTTTTTGCTATTTTTCTTATGTGTAACTTCATTGCAATAGACTATTCTTCCTCTCCCCTATTTCTCAGCATTATAGCACTGTCACTAGTAATTTATTTCATTGACTTTTGTTACAGTGAGGGCAGGCCAGAGATGACACGGTCATGCATTTCTTACCTTGTTCTAAGTCCCTTCCATGCTTCTTAGATACCATTCATATTATCTTTATTATTTTTTCTTTGCTTGATTCATTGATGATTTTTTTAAATCTGTACCTAAGCCGATCTGTTGTTCATTTTAAGTTAAAATGAAAAATGTTTTAATTTCTTGCAGTGAAACTTTCTTATGGGGGGAAAAAACTGAATATGGGCTGTTTGTCCATGACCTTGTGCTGGGGAAGGAGTCATTCAAAGTCTTTGCATGGTTTCTATCTGTATTTCTGTACATAAAATATTATACCTGTACATAAAATATTAACACTGTTTACATTACCCTTTCCATTTATATGTATTTCTATTTCTTTGTATGTAAAATAATGTTGCCATTTATGGTGTTTTGGAATGTTTGAAAAATTGAGTAATTTTGATGGATGTCTATTGCCAAGGAAATCTTACTTTCTTCTTGCTGTGTATGGTACTAAGAGATGAGGCTAATCCCTCTGAAAATGAGTTTTACATAATTAAACGCTCTTGTTATGAATCAGGTAAATGTTCCCCTTCTGAGTAAGATGCAACTTCTAGTAACTCTTAATTTGAACAAAATGAGGAGCTTCAGGACTCTTTTCATTGTTTTTGTTTAGATAAAGCAGCTATGCCTGTTCAATTGCTGAAGATCATTGAAGGACAATCTGAGACTCCACTACCAAGCCATTTGCAGAAGGAGAATTTAAAACATTTGCAAGAAGGGTGTGATTATACCAACAAATACATTCAGGTAAACTGACCAGTAAAAAAATTTTGCCTTGCTTTGAAATAGCTCCTGTTGCATTAGCAAGGTGCTTTGGTATTCCCTCTCACTTGGTGACTTTCTGCAGCTGTGTGTCCTTGTGTTCCTCTGGTGCATATCTTTAAGCAGTGAAAAATTATGACCTTGTTGAACTTCATTGCATGTTGCTATTACCTTCATTGATTCAAAGTCCTGTCCCTTTCTCTTAAGTTATCAGACTAAAATTTTTCAGGAGTTTCTCTTTTCAGAATTTATAAGCTGTGGACCAGTTTTAAAACACATTAATATGCAGAATGTTTTGCTGCAAATGGAGGGATTGGGGGAGGTTAAGTGGTATTTTGTTTAACAGAAATAGTAATAAGCACCCCAATCCTGTTAAAGATCAGATTTCAGAGTAACTAAAAAGCTTTCTAAAGTAGTTCTCCTTTTGTATGAAATTATGCAATATCCAGTTTTATGAAAAGTGTTTGTAGCAACTACCAGCATCAAAACACAATTAGTCTTTTTTATCATTACCAAGTGTGCACTTATATTTGACAGTAATCCCAAATGTATTTCAGATTGGAAGTACAATCCTGCTATACTAATGAAATGTAGAAATAACCTTTTTTGTGCCTAAAACAAGTATTCTCTGTATAATGCAGCATCAATTCTTGAGTGTGGTCTTTTTCTATCCTGTTTAACTTTTTTTTTTGTCTGTGGCTCAGAGAATCATTTTAGATGCCTCTGATGTTTATGTATCAGGAAATCAGCATTAACCCAGGTTTTCTTTCAATCTATTGATTAAAAAAGTGGGGGGTAAATTAAGGAAATTTGGTTCTGTGGAAAATATAAGTTGTCTTGAATCCTTCAAAAAATGGCACAAACATTTTAAAAATATGAGCTGAACTGATCTGTTTTTCTGTATCCGAAAGAAACATGTTTACTACCACAGCTGTATATTCTCAGCTCCAAATCTAGTGCTTATGTGACCCTGTGATTGAGTCCATTTATGAGAAGGAAACTGGCAGAAGACCATCCATATTGCTGGAGAGAGGATAATTTTCTGCTGCTGTCACTGTGCACTGGATCATTGTGGTGTCAGATTGATGCCGGCAGTGGTGCACTCCAGTGTAGTGAAGGAGCAGAACTGCCCTGTTTGGAAGCAGGCAGCAGCTGAGTGGTGTAGGAGGTGATTTGATTGAGAATGATTCAGCCTCCCTCAGGTCCTGTAAAGGAACAAATGGAAATGTCAATAGCCACTGCTGCTAGCAAACAGGGTTTATTCCTCAGGGGGTAGTTTCCTGCCCCTGTTCACCTGCACGATACATAGACCTTCCTCCTTTGAAGAACTGTGTCTGCAAGCAGCCCTGACATGGAAGAACAGGGATTCTTGTTCAGAAGAAAGTGGTGAACGGAACAAAAATGCATTATAAATTAGAAAATGTTTCTGCCAAAATACACGTTTCCATTTGGAAAGCAGGACAATTACTACCAGACTGTGATTGAAAGCATATATGCAGTGCTGTAGCTGATTCTGAAAGGGAAAGTGTGTAGAATGTCTTTCTCAGACTTCTGCCTTATGTTAAGAGAACTTCATGCTGCTGCTGACATGGATTAGTAGGTGGCTAAAACAGCTTGGCATAAACAGCACAACTGGAGAGCTGATAAAGCTGGTGCTAATGCACCATTAAATGTGAAGGAAAATCCAGTTCTGCAGGCTGAGCTTGAAGTGAACCTTAGAATGCACTGATGTTAGGTTATCTTAGGGGTGGCACACTGTCCCTCCAGACCTGCCAAAATAGGGATCAGGTCCTGCTTTGACAAGGAGGGAAGGGCAGAAGAGGATTTTTTATGAACTGTGTTCTGGTAAAAGCCACAAAAAACATTTGGGATGCTTCTGTCTGACTTGTGTGCCTCAATCCTTTAATTCTTCTGCTTTTCTATCTTCCTGATACCTCTTTGAAAACTGCAAGTTTCAAATTTGTGAAAAAACAGCACAAGCAATGTTTGTACCTCCTCTTAGTCTGTTAACTAAACATGATGCCTTCTCCTGTTAGCTCATAATTCTCTGTGTTTTGCTGTGGCAAATCTGAACCAAACCTTAAAATCAGCTGCCAAATCAGATATGGAACCAAACTGAGGGAGTGAGTCCTTACGAGGAGGGAGACACATGCAGCAGAAGAATTGTACGGGGTGGGTTTGAGAGTCTGTCTAGTGGCATATGGAATGTCGAGGGTTTTGGAAACACCCTTTTGGAAAAAATCTGCTTCTGAGCTCAATAAGCAGTGCAGAATTTGTGAGAGAAGAGCCAACTTGGGCAAGTTTTACTAAGGTCTTTGGAAGTTTGGAGCTCAAGAGTTTCAGGCATGGGGAGAAGGCAGTGGGGCAATATGAGGAAATGGGTAGTAGCTGGGGAACAGAACTGTACTAACACCTACTATAGTGCAGGTGTTAGGGATACAAAGGGAAGTGGAGGGGCCAAAATGTTATAGCAAAGAATGTGGTCCCAGAATTTGAAAACTCTTTGGAAGATACTGGGATGTAAAAGGAAAAATAAAAAATAAAGATGGTTAAAAAGCAGCCCCTTTTAAATAGTATGCTGGTGCGATGGAAATTTCTTACTAAGAAAAAAATATGTATGTAAATGTTGAGTGTTCCTGAGATAACTGTTTCATTGCAAAGACTTTATTACAAGAAAAATTCTGTAGTCTTTTATTTACCTGTGAATATAATTCAAGACAATCTCAGCAAGAGCAATTATATATATAGATGTGTGTGTGTGTACATATGCATGTGTGTATATATATATAGTGACATTTTAATCAAAGCTGTAATTTTGAAAACAAGTGAGAAACCTTTCTGGTTTGAACAGGTAAGTTCCTGTTTTTCACAGAGAAGACTAGTGAGTTTTACTAAGGAGATGAAATTATCAAATTATTTTGGAAATCAGCATTTATAAATAATGTTGAGGTTTTGTGGAGTGATGTTATTTCTTTATAAAACAGATAGTAAAATCTTGTTGAATTTGATTTGGATTACTCCTCAGCACGTTGTAGGACAAATTTTACTCTGTAAGGCCTCTGGAGTAACAATTCCCTGCTGCATATTTTATCTTGATTTGGTTTAAGAAGCATTTGCTATCATTTAAGTCAGGTTTCCCACTGAATATGTGTACTGTAAAATCACTGTGATTTACCTGACTATCCTCCTAATGTTGCATTTATAGACATATTATCATACTCTCTTTTTACAAAAAACCTTTTAGTTTATTTTTGTGCTGTTTGTGTCATTTTTTAAGCATTTTGCAGTCTGTTTTCAGTAATTTTATTTTTCTTTATTTAACTTTTTTTTTAGATTTGTTGTTGAGAAAGTTACAGTGCTTTATCTGCAGTTCTGTGAAAGAATACACTTGACTGACATTTTTTGTTGATGATACCCTCCTTCTAACTAGATATGTGGATTCCAAGGAGATGTTAATATCACTGAAGTTGCTGATTTTTGCTTCATTGTAACTCCAGCATTACAATGAAAAAGATTATTTTGAATTAATTGTTAAATCATAGGGTCATTTAGAGCATTTTTATTATTGCCAAGCAATTAGGACATGACGGTTTCAGAACTTCGTAATACTCTTCTCACGGCTGTATTTTTTTTTTCCACAGAAGGTTTTTTATCTTCATATGCATCTATTGTATCTTGAATGAGATTTTTTTCTGATATTTACGTTGTAATCCTTTGCCAAGGTTTTTGGAGGAATTGCTGTATCTCTTAAGATTTTGATCGCTAACTCTTTAGATTCCTTTCAGCTTTAAAACTCTAGTCTTTTTGCTATTTTTGTAACTACTAAAAGTTACATGAATATTTCCATAGCTACTGTTTTATTGTTTAAATTTATCATCTGGTCAATGGAATCTAAATAATATTGACATGTAATACTTGCTTTGTTATGTCTCAGGAATGTTGCTTTTTGTTGCTATCCATAGTAGTTGGTTTTTCTTTTTTTCGTTAAGAATGTAAATGGCAATTTATGCTTGTTCCATAAATTCTGCCTTTTTTATCTTACAGATGTTTCAGTTGCTATCAGTACTGCAGTAGTTTAGAGGCATACAGTCTAAATTCACAACATTGTATTTTATTTTTTGCTTCGTAGGGAATAGTTACTCTTTCCTACCCATTAACAAAACTCAGAGATGGAAGAGACTTTTTCAAGATTGTTGTTCAAGGTACTACATTTAAGTATACATTTTAAATTTATGGTGCTACGTCAGTAGTTCCTGCTTTTGTGTTCAATAGAATGTTAGATTTAAAATAATCTCTAAAAATGTTCATTTTCTTAAGAAGAAAGTTTTTCTTAAACTTATGCCAGGTATGTTAATAGAACCAATGCAGTCTTTATATTTATATATCTTTATATATCTATATATCTGTGTATATCTTTATATATCTATATATCTTTATATTCTCTACAAGAAGTAGACTTCTTGTTGCATAACTTTTTAAAAGACTGTCCTGGGAATGTATTAGCTATATGTATAGCTTTAATGGTGTATTTTCAAACTGCTTATCATAAAAAGGACCAAGAAAATTGCACACATAATGGTTACCACATAATATGAATAGCATATACTTTGTAAGGGCACTTTTAATGTAGGTCAGTGTTTGGAATAGCAGCAAAATATTTGTGTTTCATTCCATTTTAATTTAAGCATTTAAGAAAAGGAAATTTCACCTGACTACTCAAGTATTTAAATACCAGTAACTAGATTAGCACTTTGAAAGACTTGAATTGTTCATCATGATATGAAATTATATGAAAAATTAATATGTTCCTTTTAAGTCTTAAATTTATTATCTCCTCCAGTCAGGAAGGTGGAGGAGGTCATTTGTCAGGGGTCTGTTGCGTTCAAGGAACTTTCCATTCCCTTTCATTTCATTCGCAGCTGATTCCTAACAGTGGCTGGGAATCATCATGTGCTCCCTCTGAGCCTCCTGACTCCTGAGCAGCCAGCCTGGGGTGTGCAGCCCCTGCCTGGTGCTGCTGCCTGTGCCTGGTGTTAGCAGAGGTGAATGGAATTGTCGGGGCCTCAGTCAGTCTCCCTGCTGGCTCCAGGTTTCTCAAAGGGATGCTTAACCTCCCTGACTCTTGCTGATTTCAGTGACTGTTCAGGAGAGGAGAGTTCATGCACATTCTCCATAGAAACATAAGTTTGCACATCTAAGTCATTGAAACAGTAAAAAGTAGAAAACTCTAAAAATAACATTATTTCTGCTTCAGTCTTCCTGGAAGGCTATTAATTAATATTTCTATGACCTAGAATATCTTCAATTTATAATAGATTCTACAATAGGGTCTATTGTTAATCTAACACTATACATTGAATTATCCAAGTGGAAATCTTTTTCATTTCTGTTTAATTGTACCCTGGTGTACAATAGACTTATTTTAATCCTCTTATGAAGAATATACTGAGCAATATACCTGCAGTTAGCACATTTCCTGTTTGTACATGAATTGAAAAATTTTAGACTGTAGATCAACTTGTTTTGTAAGCCTCTTTCCACTGTTGTTATGGTTTGGAGAAGGTATAGTGATTGGAGTAATTTTTGCTTTTTTCCCTCCAGATACGGATAACTTGTGTTCCCAGATCAGCAGCATCAATATTTTCATATATGGAAAAATGGCAGAGGATTGTGCAAAACTTATACGCCATGGGGTAAAAAAACACCAAAACATATATAGATATAAATTAGATATAAATTCCTGGTTTAGGAATTGTTTTTTACAGATGTATGTCTACTTCTTCTTTTGTCTTGGTCTAGCTATCCCTAAAATTAGAAATAGTCTGTTCAGTCTCTTCAAATCTATAGTACTTGCTTATGTAAATTCTTTGTCACACTAATATTGAAAAAAAGGAATTACTTTTATCAGTGCTGTTTACCTAGCAAGCAAAGGATCATGAATATGGATAATAGAGAAGTCACCCTTTTATATTCATATTTTGAATGTTTTTCCATTTGATAAGATATATTTTATAATTAAATTCATTTAAAAGACAGTTACACTAAAAGATTAAAAAAAAAAAAAATCAAACCTGTGCATACAGGGTTTTTTTTTCCTTGACTTGGTGCTGGTATCTTGCTTTGTCAGAGACAACAGTTTAGTTAGATTAGCTCCAGGTAAAAGACTTAGACAAGTCAGCCTGTGAGTTTGTTTACCACTAAAGAAGGAAAAGAAGATAAAAACAATTACCTCAGTCTTTTTGTAAGACTGCCTATCAGTTTACTGACATTTCAGTGTTAGACAAATGTGAAATTAAAATTATAATGTGAAATATTACAAGCTTGTGTTAGTGCTTTTTCATTTGTGGTATGAATTCACACTAAATCATAGAATAGTTTGGGCTGGAGGGCACCTTTAAAGGTCAGCCAGTTAAAACCCTCCTGCCTTAGGGAGGGAGATATGGGCAGGGACGTATTTCACCTCATTAGATTGCTCCAAAGCCCTATCCCAGCTTACTTTGAACACCTCCAGTGATGGGGCATCCACAACTTCTCTGGGCAATCACATTCTTTATACAGATTTCTCAATTCCATGTAATTTTCAATTTTGATGGGGAAGCCAGGGTGTAAAGTTCCTGAGCTAATTTGCTAAATATGTAAGTTGCAGAATCTTTTTAAATTCAATGACCAAATCCGTTTTGTCCTGATAAAAATACAGATGTTGAACAGGGCACTGAGCAGCAATTAGAAGATAAAAAGATCATTACTAAAGAGCTGAATAAGAAGCTACATCCCACAGGCAGCAACCCTTAGACAGCCAAGGTGTGCTAGAACTTCAGTTTGTTCTTCCCCAGTGAACTGAACCATCAGGGTGCTTCCCTCATGTCTCAAATGAGATTTTAATTTTGGAAGAATATGAATATAAGGAAATGGTGATTTCTGAAGCTAGCAGAGTTTGGAAAAAAATTCCAGTTTTTAGCCATAAAGAATTGCTTCAGTAAGGTGCACAAGGTAGTGTTTATTTGCTGCATACCATTTCAGATTTTAGTATTTTTTAATTTCCATATCATATCTTCCTAAAGTTTAATGCTGTAAGAACTTTAGCTAAAGTAGCCAGGGGGAGCAGCTGACGATTTCTAAAAAATGTGAGTGACCATGTTGTCTCCTGAGAGTCTTCTTGATCTGTAACAGAATAACCATCAGGAAAAATATTGTATTTCCTGTATTTCACACTTTGAGGGAAATAGAATTTCTTTTTGCCATTTAAAAATGTTGTTTGAATCTCATAATTTATTTATGCAATTTACTTCTGTTGACATCAAAATCCACCAATTTAAGTAAATAGCTTTGATTCCCAAGGCAATTACAAGATCTTCTTAGCTAAATATTAAATGGAAACTAATCTATTTCGAAAACTAATATAGCATTAAATTTCAAAGCAGCATACAAATATTAGGAATTTTTTTTTCATGTTTAGAAACTGCAAGTCACAACCTGTCAAAGTTGACAGTGAATTTGTAAAAAAATCTGAGAATGTGTCTGTTCTTTCTGCCTGTAGAACTAGATTTTGAGGTTAGTGCTGTCTTTTTCTCATGGAAATTGCACAGTCCTTTCACAGTGTGAGAGGATGTTTGTTTTTGGTTATTTTTTAACGTGATGCTACATTTGGCATATATATTACGTGAGAGTAATCACTAATGACCTAATACTACTCCAAAAAATTTTACTTCTTATCAGCTTGTTAAAAGGCTGAGTCTCTGTAATTCTGAAGTTCATTCTGACACAGCAAGACAAGAGCTGCCTGTGCAGATCTCCAGTCCTGTCTCAGCAGCCATATCCCAGAATCTTGTGCAGTCTGCATTCTAATGCTGAAATTGAAATAATGTATAAGACATAGCTTTTTAGATAAAGGGTGATTTTACTGTTGAAGGGACATTCTGAGTAGCACCACCAAACAGTGAAAGACACATACTAACACTTGATTTTGGCAAAAGTAATGGAGTTTGCTGAAGTTCATATTTGTATGTTTCAGTATTTGGAAAGAATGAGACAACTTTCATATGTGTTAGTAGGACAGCGTGTTAGAAGTGCAGAGAATACTGAGTGTTCTAATTGTTTTGACATGTTTTAATTTAGCTTTGAGTATGGCTTACTTCTAGGTTTATATATTGCTTTTTTAGTCAAAGTGTGCATTGTGACACTACCTGAAAATCATCTAAGTAGTTTCATTGTGAATTAAACTGTCTGATTAAATTTATGTTTTCTGCAGAAATTTTTTCCCCAATGTTTTAATAACTACATATATCACTGTCACTTAATCTAGAAGCCTTTCTTTTTCTTGCACAAAACATTAAGGTTTTGGATCTTAAATCATTTAGCGTAGCATTGTCAGATTGCTGAAATAGCAAAAAAAGCGCTGTCATAGTGCAATATTTGCTCAAACTGTCAACTTCAATAAGAAAACGCTTTTATTTGTTGTAATCAAATAAATACATGAAGAAAAGTTATTCAGTAAAAGTTTATGGAAGAGCTTTTGGTAGAAGCTTGAATAGAAATAGAGTTTCAAGTCTAACATGTTTATTGGAGTGGAGCACACTGGCACAGCCCTGCTAAGCAGTTCTGATAGCAAGGGAGCTGACTGTAAAGGAGCTTTACATTGTATCAGATAGCTTTTTAAATCACCTCTGATTACCTAAAGATATTTAATGTATTCTCTATCTTCTCTGCCTTTTTAATTTTTACTTTTTTTAAAATTTTTATTTGGTGAAGTTGCTGCTAAAAACATGAGCTGCTGCTGGGACTTGAATCATGTACCCTTTAAATCCTCCTTTTCTTGTTCTTTTTGTGGTGTCTGAGGAACTTTGTACCAAAGTGAAAATAGAGTTATCATTTCTTTCTGTGCCAGAATCTCAGGAGTGATGCCAGAGATGTTTTTAAGGTCTCTCTTGCTACCAGAAACTTACCTGTTGATTGACCTACCTATTTAACCCTTAAGGAAGCTGTTGGTCCAGCCAAAACAGAGTTTATAGGAGAGTTTCTTAAATGTACAGCTGTAATTCATTGGGAAAGAAGCTCTGAGAAAAAATATTTTATCACTGCTGGTCTGACATGTGATTTCTTTTTACTTTAGTTAAGCTAAACAGAAAGCAGTCAGTCCTTATTGTATTTAAAGAAGAATGATTCTCTTGCTTTATTCAGTGTGAATCTTCCTCCCTAGGCTTTGTCAAAAATAGCAGTCTGTTACAGTAGCATCATGAGTGTGAAAATTTCAGCAGAATTAAAAATAAAAGCTTCCTGGCATTTGTTGTAAATATAAATTCCATGGGGAGAAGAACTAAATTGGGAAACTCAAAGACAGATTTTAAAATTTGTTCAGGAATTTTGTTTCTTCAATGTCTTGAGACTTTAGGGTGAAATTTCACATGATATAGTCTTAAAATAGAGCATGTGTTAGAATCTCTATAATTTTCTGTTGTTGCTGTGTCCCCATAGGAAAGCTTCATAGCTGCAGGATTCAAGGTGATAAAATTGCCTACAGACAGAGAGGATGATAGACATGATTGTCACCTGGAAGTGTCTGAAGAAGCTGGATCAACCATTTATGTACGTGGTTGCCCAACTTTTTTTTTCCTTTTTTTTTCAATGTCCAAAATGCATTTATTTTGCTTTATAATAGGAAAAAAAACAATAAAATCTATGTGAAACTTAAATGGTACAGATTATTTACCATGTTCATCAGGAAACAAGACATGTTTCCTCTGTGTGTGTGCGTGTGTGTGTGTGCACATGTAATTTTATAATAGCCCTAACCAAATTATTTTCCAGGTAAATTTCTACTTGTTGAGTGGAAGAATTTGACTATGGTTGACTTTAGATAGATTCCTAGAGCAGTTTAAACTACTCTTGTGCATAACACATTTCAATACTGCTGACAAGGTAGAGGGTGCAAGAGTGATTTCAGGTCTAAAATTTTTAGTTTTCTCTGGTCTGTGAGTTTGTACTGTTTTAACTCACATCATTAGTTGTTGCCTTTCAAATATATGGACTGCTATAGTCTAAATTTTATACAGAGAATTGTACCCTTTTGTCCTGAGTAAAATATTTGTTCTTTTGTACTATTACATCAATTCTGTTTCGTTTTATCTGTACAGTTATTGTCTAATTAAAACCTAAATTTAAGAAAAAAATTTTTTTTTAAATTTCAGAAAGGCACTTCTGTTCTGGAATTGACCTCTGTAGGTAACTAAAGCTTGCCACACAGCTCAGTGAGAAACAAGATTATTTAAAATGCTAGTGCAGACTGTTTCATGACATTCATTATCTGTTGATGATGATGATATATAGGTAGAAAGAATATTTGTCATTGAAGATCATGGGTAGCAAAACTGCCCTGAGTCTGAATAGGTGTGTGTAAGCTAAAAGTGTCTATATTTTAGAAACTACTGCAGTGTAAGCTAAAAGTGTCTATATTTTAGAAACTACTGCAGGCCTTTGACTGAGTATTGGCGAGACCTCATGCCATACAGTCTAATCCCAAAGATACTGTGCAGCTCCCTGAATGCCTGGGTTGTGCTGAAGTGTTTATCTCATCACTGACCACAGAATGGAGCTTGTGCCACTTTGTTTGGTGACACACATATTGGATGCTTCACATTAATACAAATGAGCAGACTTTGTGTGGGCTTCAGTTCCCCAGTCATAACTTTTCACTTGGCTGTTTAAAAGTAAAATCAGCTTCAGGAGTGCAGCTGAAGTGGAGAGCAGAAGCAGATCCCTGGCAGGAGTGGGCAGTGCTGAGGCAGGACACAGCTGTGACAGGGGCTCTGTGACCAGCAGCCAGGCTGGGCTGTGGCGTTGGGGTGGTGACTGAGCCCTGTGTTCCTCGCGGAGAGTGGGGAGTGTTGGCTTTTCATCAAATCTCCACGATTAGTTCTTTAAAAGACCTTACATTGAAGGTAAGTATGGCTTATAAATAAGGCTCAAGGAACTATCTTTAAGTAAAATTTATCCCGTTCTAGTGAACTTTTTCCCCCAGAGGAAAGTAACAAGTCGCTGAGAATAGATATGCTCTAAGCATTGACATGTACATACATCTTTATGTACAAAACCTTAAAACCATTTAAGGTCTATGTTAAGCAAGTGTAGTTTTAAATTTGTGGCCTCCAGCTTTCAAATGCTACTCTGTTAATGTGACCTAACATATTCAACTGGGTGACTTTAGAAAATGTGTTTATTTTTTTGAATTAATGAATACATGGTATTTACTGCACTCACACTCATACATACCTTTTGTATGAGTGTGAGTGCAGTAAATACTGCTTTCTTTTCTTCTGTAGCTAAAATTTTACTAGATTCAGGTATGGTTCAGATATGGCAAAAATGTCCGTAGGGCTGGTTTGTATTTCTATATAGTGTTGTATTTGCTTTAAAGTTATCAAATGTTGTTATATTTTCAGTACCTTCAGTTTTGTAGTCAGGAAGTTTGTTATTTTTTCTCCACAGATTTACACTAAACCAGGAATAACTGCTGCTTCAGAAACTGCATCTGTGGTGAGTTTGTATTTGGGATATTTTTAAATCACATGAGATGAACTGCATGTTAATAAGAAGGTGTGGAATTCATTTTTGTTCCAGTTTAATTTATTTCCATATGCTTATCCCAGCAGTCATTTAGCTTTTACTTTTGCAAATAATATACTTGGAACACAAAATAAAATATGAAAGAAGTAGTACATTTTCTATTCTTGTACTACAGTTCCCATCTCAGTCTCCAACTGGATTTCATGTTGGTTTAGGAAATTTGAATTAGAAAGGTAACTGTTGATCTAAACAAGATTGTATGCTTGTGTTGTAAAAAGAAAAAATGAAATACAAAACTTCCTTTGCTTTAAAATCAGACTTCCAATACTGGTTTTAAGATTTGTTTTGATTTCTGTTTGTAACAAGCCCTTATGTGTCTGACTTAAAATTCTACAAGAAATAGTATTTTAAAAGCAGAGGAACTGGTTTATGAAATTTTAGTGTTCTTTATCATGATGTTAAAGATTCAGTACCAGTGGTGCTAGAGTTTGTTTTCAATTTTTATTTACAGTTTCATTTTTTCAGTATAGTACTTGAAAACCTAAGTACTTGAAAACCTGAGAGAACTCTTATTCTTTGAAAGAGTCTAATCAGCAACCTTAAGATGAGAGGAGAATAGTCCTTAAGCTGTAGAAATTAGCCCTTAATTTCTTTAATCCTCCAGCAGCTGTGGAATTTTAATCAGGAGATGTGCACAGTGGCTGTGAGAGGTAACCCCCCCACCATCCCAAGACAAGGATTCTGTGCAGTGACACTGCCAAGCAGAAATACAAAGCTGTTTATATATGTGTTTTAAAAAGTCCTTTGGATGGGCATGTAAAAATGAAGCAGTACAAAATTGTCTTTCATTGTTCTTTATTGTAACGGCTTTTACTCACCTGGTTCATGTGTTGAAACTTACTTCAATTAACTGATTGGCTTATTGTGAGAAAGGTGCAATCACAGAAAGAAATTAAAAGTCCTTTCTAAGTCTCAAGTGAATAAGATACAAAGAAATAGATAATCTTTATTTCTTTTTTTAAGATTAAATAAATATATCTGAGGATTAGTGATGTTAAAAGACAAAATTCTGTGTGAATGTTTGACTGATTTTTTTCTTCTGTTCCCTTACTGTATCATGCCTTTTCAGTCTGTTGCTCCAAAATATGTGTATACTCCCCTGAATCATCTTAAAGATGGAACTGTAGTGAACTTGTATGGAGTTGTGAAATTCTTCAAGCCTCCATATATTAGCAAAGGAACTGGTATGTACAATATTCAAGAGATTTGAAATGTCCTCCAGCCAGAACTGTTCTTACTATGTTTGTTCAAAATCAACCAGAAAAACAAATTCACATGATTCTTTGACCATAGCTTTGACCAGCTAATACCAAGGAAACAGAAAAACAAATAGATAAGAGATATCAGCCAGTTCAGGCAGACTGGTGGGGATAGCAAATGAAGAAAATTCTTAAAGGGGATTTATTATTTGTCCAGCTACTTTAACAAGACTTCAGGGAATTGAAGACTTGGAGCATCTTAATTAGACAAGCACGGATTGCTGGAAATCATTAGGGCAGCCATTCTTTCCAGATATGTAAAAATGTGAAGTTAAATGCACTGTCTTATGAAGCAGCATGTCTCTGAAGCAGCTAGGAGAGATTTTTTTCATCTGAGTTATTTGTGAAGTTAATCACTTCCATTTCATTATTAGAAATTTAATAGGGACAATGATTGTTTGTTTAGCAACTAGTCCTTTCCAAAATGTCATAAATAACTTCCTGATATATCTTCCCTGTATATTTTCAGTTGACATTATTAAAATGAACCCAACAGTATCATTGGAGAACAGGGACACAATCTGATATTTCTTATTTATGAAGATAGCTGTAAATTCACTTACTACTATATAATGAAAATCTCTAATATAGTTCTAATTAGTCTGGGGTTTTGAGTAAAAATACTCACTAATCAGTCAAATATTTCAATGCTGGTTTTTAAGTTTTTGCACAATCTAGAGTGATGTTTGCTTGAGAGGGTACAAAATTGTCGATGATTGTTCTGCATTGTCAGGGCATGAAGTGGCTCTTGTCAGAAAAGTCTGTAGTTGCTTTAGATCTGACCCAGTCCTGCATCAATACATTCTCTGTCTGACACTGTAATAACAGAATCATGTAGCTTCAAGCTGATGCCCCCGGGAAGCCTGGAAAGTGGGGCCTCTGTACTTTATCCACATGGGTCTTTATTCACTAAATAAATATGCCCTGAGGTATATGCTGCTGCTCCTTCTTACACACATGAAGGCTAAGGCTGAGGTTTTGCACTGTGTTCCCACTGAAGGTGGGTAGCACTGGACAGGTACCTAATTTAGTCTTGTTGATTTCTGTAATCTATAATTAAAGTTCATCATTTTCATTGCCATTATTGCATTAAGTGAGAGTGTTAAAACACTGATGAATTAAATGAGTTTTCAGTATGTTCATAAATCATTTATTACACAGAAAGTTGTTTTAGCTAAGCACTCTTTTTCTCAGGGCATATAGTTTGACACCTCAGTATATAAGAACTTCATGAGTTTTGAAAATTGTCCAAGAAAGTGCTTTGAGTCTTGCTTCATATAAGAGAAAAATGGGATTTTGTCTGATAGAAGATCTGCTGGAAGTGTTCAGAACTATATTCAAACTTTCCTTCCCCAATAGTTTAAGATATTTTAAATTTTTAACAAAGATGATGTTCTCTTCTATCCCTCTCTTAATCTTAAGGATATCTCAAGTACTTAACCTTGAGATTTAAAAGAAAAGAGAAGTAAATAGAAGAAAAAAGACCTCTATCTTTGTAGTGTCCAATTACAGAGACTATGTGCTTGACCATGAAAGTTTTAGGACATTACAAAGTGACACATACTGCTTCCCCAACTATTTTTTTTTTTTGTGTAGATACTGGTCAGTATTTTCCATAAAGCAGGGAAGAATGAAGAAGAATCCTTGCTGCTGGTCAACAATGTCATAGAATTCATAACCTATTTTTCTGGGGAAGCTTTCTGCTAGCATTTTATCATAGATACATGCAGTGTATTTTTATGTCACATGTTCAGTTAAAATCTCATTTTATCCTACCTAGACATTTATTTAGATTGTAACTATTTTATTATTACAAAATATTTCTTAGAATCAGAATTAATAAAGGATGACAGTTTTGGAAAAGACATTTCTAAGAAGCCTGACCACTTCCAGGTCAACAGTTCTACATGCCCAAAATGCAGATTAAGAATCAAATCAGATTATTAAAGAATTTTTGAAGCATGGAGTTTTATTTTTGTTTTCAATTGTTTTTTGATCTTGAGCCAAGTTCATCAAACAACCAAGAGTTTGTTTAAAATTATGTAGCTGAAAAATTAGCTCTAATTTCAATGATACCATTTGGTCAGCTTGAATTGCAATAGTCAATTTTTAGCAAGTAATAAAAAACCAACTTTACAGTGCAAAGCAAACTCATCACAGAATGTTGTGGTGTCCTTTTGTGAGGAAGCAGACTCAATTATATCTGCAGTAGTTTTTCCTTTAAAGTATTGTGTTCCATTTTGGGGATCTTTTATGAATCAAAATGTTGAGGATTTATATAAGTTTTGCAGAACAGAATAAAAACTGTTGCCAAGGTAAAGACAGCAATTTCATTTCTAGACCCCTAGGGATTAGAATACTGTTTTCCCTTCTGTTCACTGTGGTTTATATGCATTTCTTTTTAAAATAATCACCCTTTATTATCTTAAAATATAGAAGATAAATAAAAGATTTAAAAAAATCTGAAGGAATTAATAATAATAATAAATAGTTAATAGAAATCTAAAGACAATTACTTTGATCTAGAGATTTCAAATGATGGCATTGAAACATCTGTTTAGCCAAATGCTTCTGGTAGTTACCAAATTGTATCTCTAAAGTGTATCACTATTATGTTAGAAATAACAAGCTCTAGTAAAGCAGTTTGATTCTTCAGAGATTTTGTTTTAGGCTTCTGCAGCATATGTTTTTATGTGCATATATATACATACATAGGACTGTGTGCACATGTATATTATTTTTTCCTGTCTTGTTGAAATATAAATGGTAAGTTATCTGGGTCAGCTGTTGGGTGTTAGTGCAGACACTTGTGTATTGAATGGCCTCAGAAATTCTTGAAAACAGTATTAAATGTTTCATTTAGTTTTGAAGAGAGAATAATTTGCTACAATAATCTGTCTTTTTTGTGTGTATTGAAATACAAGAAACAGAAGGCAATCTTTAATTAGAGTCCCTGACTACTAACAACATTGCCCAAAACCTTTTTTATCTTTTGGAAGGAAGAAGTTATTGGTTCAGGGTAGTGGGTTTTCCACTAAATGTTATTGAAGAATAAATATGTGATTGCCCAGAGGGGGATGTGTAATTAGATCGATGCTTTCCACCTTAACAATTTATACAAGCAAATTTGTCAGGAACTGCTGAAGTCCTCAGTAGAACTACAATAAATTTTTAATCAGTAAATACTAAACAACTTGTTGGTCCTACAATATCAATAACTACTAATCTGGAAAGCTTTTTTAGCAATTTTGGTTTTCTTAGGATAACTGAAAAATGAGTTTGTACGTGAAGGTGTGGGATTTTTGTGGTTTTTTTACCTGTCTGAACACACTGTGGAGAAATGGTGGCTTTCTGCTCATGCATAGCCAGCATAACAGAGATTTCTGTAAAAAGAGTGGAAGTGCTGTGGCATTATGAAGGAAAAGTTGTAACCTGAAGAAGGAACCTAGACTATCATAGTGGATTTTAGATTTTCAGTAACTTTTACAGAGCTGCAAGAGATTCCTATTTCAAACTAAAGGACCTAGATAGCTTGACAGTCAGCATTCACCATGCAGACAGTGCAACCTTCTACTGATTACCAAATTTTTATGAAATGAAATAAAGAACTTGTTAACAGGTTATAGCAATTGTATTTTTAAAGAACAATAAAGGCTTAGCTGAAAGAGTATAAAAAGTGTATAAGATGCATGCAGACCATCACTCTGTATTTTCATTTAAATTAAACAGGGGTTATGTCTCCTTGTTTTTGTAACACCACTTCTGGGGGGGTTACCAGCACAGGTAGTTGTCCAGGTGCTTCCTTACATGATGTTAAGCTTAAATGAGAATACCTCTTCATAATAATTAAATATATTTAAAAAAAAGGTAGGTTCACTTTTAAGGTCTGCGTAGCACTATGAAATACTGAAATTCAGTGCTCTTACTGAGACGATCTCTTATGAAAGTAGAAAGCTTTCTTCTGTAGCATATAAATTTGCTGAACTGTGCATCCCTTGTGTCATATTTTTAAGACAGGTTATTGCAAGTAAAATCTACCAGTGGTAAAAATTCTCTTTTAAAGAAAATCAGTGAATTTTTTTAATCAATTGAGTTAATTTCTCTACTAAGGGAAAATTGACTCCAATACGTAAACTTCCATTATTTATTTATTTATTAGCTTGGTAATGAAGGAATTTTGCTTTTTTGGGTAGTATATTTAGAAAAATCACAAGTGTGAACAATGACATTATATTGTTTTGTTTAACTCTAAGACATTATGTAAATTCAGCAATTTTGTGTAGAGTTTGACTCACTATTTTTTCAGAAAAGTGAATTCATTCAATGATCTGTAATGCTACTGTGGAAAACAGGAAACAATTTCCACATTTCAACTAGAGAAGACAAGTGGCTTTTTATTTTTTACCTTCATAAAGGACTTTGCTGAATGAGGATTTCATTTAAAAACTGAGTATTTATACTTTGTTCTCAGAGACCTCTATTGTACTTAGGTTTGTAAAAGGGATGTTTTGAGGTGAAAGTAAGGCATAGAAGACTGAAGTCACAGAAGACTTCATGGAAGACTGAACCTCTGTTATGTAGAAAGTGTTCCCTGGCTATGTAAAGCAAGTGTACTATTTTATACTGCTTTGACTAGGATGATTATCTGTCTTACATGATTATGCTAATTACACAGAAAATTGAGGTAGCGTGTTTAACTTCTGCCATTAAACAGGCAGCTGCACATGTGTGAAGCTGACTAGGTTGCATAATCACAGCATCAAAGAGTAACCACAATTTTAATGTGGAATGTTTTTTGCTACTTCCTCTTGATTGTGATGTTGCGTTATATCAGTGCACTGTAGCATGTTATTCTGCATCCCCAAAGGATTGTAAATCTATGAGCCATATGGGCTTCTCTTCTTAATTGCTCATTTTGCTCATATTTGCAACAAATCTTTTAAGTTAACCTCTAGAATTCATACCCAAAGAAATGCATCAGTCTTTGGATTACAGTAGTAAATACTTGCAGTTTTTGTCAGCCAGTGACTGGAGTTTATTCTTGACATTCCTAGCATAAAATGTTAAAATAGACTGTATGTGGACCTTGTGCCTTTGGTGGGAGTGGAAAAGAGTGATCTCAGCAATTTCTGAATGCAAAATGATTTGTCATTATTGAATCTGTATAAAAACTTGGGAAGGAGGAAGAATACTAGTTTTATAGAAATACAGAAGGTTTTTGTATCTGTAGGAAAAGTTTTATTTCTTGGTAAGCCTTCATTGGATTTCTTTAATCACTTCATTCCTTTAAATCATAAAGGAATTTCAACTTTTAAGTTTAAATCATAGCAAAATTTAAGTGTATATGTGCTGGAAACAGAAGAATATTTCTTTTGAAGCATGTATTTTAATCCAGTCTTACATACCTGCCCTCATGTTTAGGGAATCTGTTCAGAGAGTTTGCATATAACAATCATCTTTTTATGACTCCCTTCCTGTAGCTTTTTTATACAAGGCAAATCTGTCAGTTTTACTAGCCTGACAGCATTCTCTTTCAGAGCTGTCTAGCAACAGTTTATGTGTCTGCATCTTTATAATGTGCATGATGGGGACTTCATTGACTTTTAGACCTACAATACCTTTGTTCAGTTCCCAGCTGGATATACTGGTGTAGTGCCATTATCACCTCTTAGAATTCCAGCTAAGAGAAGTTGGGGTTTTTGATAATTAGGATTTTTTTTTTCTCTTCTGTTTCGGTTTTTCTTTTGAAGAGATGAGCAAGTGTCTGTCAGGGCAAAACAGATTTGATTTGGGGAATTTAATTCATTGCCAGTTAACATAAACATCTAATAACTCATTCAGATATTGAGACAAAGAAATATTTGAACACTTAGGGGGGACACTGTTCCTCCACCTTTTCCAGGTTTAGCTTCACTCCAGGCACCCCTTTCCTCCTTCCTAGTCTCTGTTCCTCTGGCTGTGGTTACAGATGTCTCTTGGAGGGACAGTAGGAGGTTCAGGAGAGCAGGGCCTTTCTTCCCACTGCTACTTGGTTTCTCAGGTAGGTTACCAGCTGCCATGTTGCAAAAGAGCAAATGTGCTTTTACTCTGTTTATAAGATATCAGAGCACACGTGTTCTGTAAGCTGAAATGGAAAATACAGGATTCATTTATGTCATCCACAGATACTGCTCTGTTCTTGGCTGATCTGCATTGTTATCTTTGTATCTTGTTTTGATTTTACTTTTTAGATCATTATTAGAAGTGAAATTCTATGATGTTTAACTTCAGAAAGGCATATTTCATATTTTTACTCTACTTTCTGGCTACCACTGTGTGACTCTATTCTTGTGGTATATATATCTATCTTGCATATTTTGGTGAAATCGAGGATTTGTAATTTATGCTTTAATTTGCTTGTAGAACTTGTAGAACTTATTACCTTTTCAGAAAGCTGTGCAAAATAAATCTTAGAAAATGATTTTATTAAATTGTAGATATGTGCCTCATTTTGTAGAAGTAATTGAAATGTGAAAGAATAGCATGCCTGTTGTAGACAGAAGAAAAAGGTTTGTGTGTTCTTGCACACAGCGCTGTGCTTAGTCACACATTTCATTTTCAGTTATTTGGGCTAATTATTGAAAAGAGGGGTCACATTTCAGTTATTATGGTACTGTAAAAAAATGAAAATAAAAAAGTTACACAAATCATAGCAAAAAACAATTGGCCATAGGGCCAATTCCTCCCAAATTTAGTATCTGTGTATTAATAATTCCATAATGCCTGTTACTCATCCAGACACTTTTATATTTTACAGATTATTGCTCAATTGTAACACTTGTGGACCAATCAAATGTGAAGTTAACATGCAGTCTTTTTAGTGGAAACCTAGATTTTCTACCAAAAATTTACAAAGTTGGAGATATTGTTCGATTTCATAGAATAAAGGTATGTACTAGGATGTGGGGGGTTTATATGCTTGCTTTTCTGCACTGAGAGGACCATAGGAATAATTTAGTTCTATATGTACAGAAATTAACTCTTGGAGACATTGGATAAAGCAGCTGGTTGTTAAAACAGCTATGGTTGTGGTATGGACCAAAACTGAAAGTAAACTATTACATTTTTCAACAACAACAACAATATTTATTAAACTACTTGACAAAAAATCATGTGGTACTTCTAGATGGATAGAATTTAACTGATATAAATCAGCACAATTTATTCCTCTTCAAACTGGTAAGACTAAGGAGTTTCTTTAGGTCTTCTGTTTCAGTAGGGCGTCTGGAGCAGTTTAGGTCAGCTGGAGAATCACTCCAGTAGAGGGAGTCTGTCTGGGCTTGTTAGAGTGCAGTGTGCTCCTGCTGCTGCTCCAGTGTTATCCTGCATTACTCCTATTTATCTGTATCAAAGGGCATGCAGGAAACTGTTTATAGCTTTGATACTGCTTCTTGGATGTTTTTCTTATGCCTGCTGCAACTGTATAGGGAAGAAGAACCACCTTACAGGGAATGAATAGAAATCTTGTAATGCTAGACCATGGTTAAAGAGGTGTATAATAGGACCAAAGATGTGATTTTACCATTAGTTTGCAACATAACCATACGTATTTATTTTTTACGTGAAATAATTATCAGAGAAATTGAATGTAATGAAAGAGACCAGTAAAAAAAAAAACAAAACACCAAGAATAAAACAACAAAAAAAAACCCCAGTTTGCATATCTGAACACTCTTGAGAGTGTCCTAGGAAACTAAAGAGATCTAGGAAATTTAGGATTTTACAAAAGAATGATAGAAGGGATAAATATCTGTAGTACTACTACTGAGATTGTTAAGAAAGAACTTAATATCTTAGAAATAATGCCTAATTGTACACTGTTAAAGAGTGGGAAGGGGCAATCTGCTGGTACTGGCTAAGCCTGCAATATTTTGTAGTCCCTTGACTTAGGAGTTTTGGCTGGTATTCTGCCTTTGTTAAAATGCCTCAAACCCTGCCATGGTGATAAAATGGTTAATTTCCTCACTGGCTTTTCTCTGGTATTCTTTATTACCTCTGAGGGATTCACAAACAATAACTTATTTCCTCACTTCCAGTGAAGAGAATTGGTATTCGATTTCCATTTTAATGTTTGAGAATTGGAAATAGTGATGCATATTGTTATTTTGGTGTTCCTCTTGTTCAGTGTACTCTAGTTGTTTAATGCAGTCAGGATGTCCAGGATGTGTTCTGGTGGGTCTTGTTGGTCTTTTTCCTGAGTGCACAGCACTGCAGAGCAATGCATTGCTTTGCAGAGCTGTGTGATTCGTGTGCAACACTTGGACAATGAAGACCAAGTCACTGACCTCTGATTATAAATTTCACTTGTATGGCTTCCTTGGCATGCTGCAAACTCTGTAGCAATTACACAGCCTTAATTCTCTAGCTTTTTGTCATAGTAATCCTGATGCTGTTCTCTTTTCTTACTGTCATTAACCTTAACTTCTTCTGTACATAGGGGCCAGTTGCTGTAACAAATGAAGTAGGAATTGTAAAGTGGTCACCCTTTTTCTTAGACAGTATTATTGCATCACCACTGCACTTCTCAAGGCATGCACCGTGTCAGAAAATATTCTTTAGAAAAATAGGGTCCTGGGGGTTATGGATCATAAATGCATCATGAGCTGAACTGAGTTTGCACAGACATCAGTAACTGTCATCTACTAACCTTGGGATAACCATGGGTTATAATCCTCTTGTTTTCATTTTGTGGTCACATCACAGAATCAGAGAATCATTAAGATTGGAAGTTACAGTCACGATCATCAAATCCAACCTTTGACCAAATACCACCATGCCCAATGCAGCATCCTAGATCTCTAAAATAAAAAAATAGAGAAAAACAGCAGGAAAATCAGATTCCTTGAATGCTACTAGTTGCACATTCATCTGATTCAGACTCTTTAGATTTACAATGTAAACACATCGTTTCTTTGAGCAAAAAGATTTAATAGCCACAATATCAACAGTTATTCCTTTCATAGATCACTAGATTGACCAGTGTAAGATGTAGGTTTTGCTAGTGAATTTCTAAGATATTTGTCCACAGAGGAGGGGGAATCTGAATGTCAAATATATGGAGCATGGCTTCATAACAACAGAGAAGTATCACACTCCCTTTTTTGTTATCCTTACTAGTTCTGTTCTGTCTCTCCTCTTGTGCATCACTCTCCTAAATCTAGTAATATTTAAAATAACATTCGTTCCACTGTGTTGCTTACTTTGATCTTTAAACAATCTGCTGTTATTTCCAGGAGCAATCTTACTTTTGCCCTTAGCTAGCAGTTTCCTTGTCTCTTTATGCTCTCCTTTAGTTTAATCCAGTTTGTCCAATGAAAGTTTATTTCTTCCCTTCTTTCTACTTGATGCAATATGGAAGGTACTGGGAGAAAGACACAGCAGAAATGTCTGCTTACTTCTTATTCCTGGGCAGCTCTAGCCATAGCTGTCAGGTTGATAAGGATGAGGGGGAAAGTCTGGAGCTTGGTTATCTAGCATGCTGCATGAGCATTAAACTTTGGCAGAATAGAGCTCCTGGACTCCTAGTGTCTTCTGAGAAAATGTGGTCCAAATATATAAACTTGGCCAAAATTAGGTTTGAGACTTTCTACTAAAAAAGATGTTGAAGAGTGTGTTTTCTGTTGCACTGCTACCCAGTTTTCAAATTGTTTTTCTGAAGAGTGGAAGGAATTAATTTTTTTTTAGTAAGCAGTTAGGAGGTTTTTTTTTAATACAGAAAAAAACAATTCTTTTTATTCCCCCCCCCTCCCCAGAAATGTCAGTATTAACTTGTGGTTCCCCTTCAAAAATTCTGTAAGGCATACAACTCACTTTGAATAGAATTTAAATTAAAAACAAGTGTTTATCCTATAGTAAATAATGTCTGGAAATAATGACTGTAGGCAGTGATAGAGTGTCTCTGTAATTTCAAGTCTTAGCAATGTGCAAATATGATTTTCATATCAGTATTTTTGGTCAAGTTACTGATCAGATTTTTAATATGTAGAAAATATTCCAAAATAGTAATTTTTTACTCTATTAGAATTTGTAAAGCAGTGTCACAGTGCCTGCTGGCTTTTTAAATTACTAAACCAGAAATTATTTCAACTGGCTTAAGTATATAAACTTCTTGCATACAAATTTTTCCACAAAATACTTATATATTCAGGTGAATTGAATTGGTAAATAAAGTACATTGTATTGCTCATTTACTTCTTAAATTTGTGTTTCTTTTGCTACAGATGTTTCAAACAATTTTATTTTGCAGGCAGCAATTCAGGAATGCTGGAGAATAACCTATCCCTTATGGTCCTAATGTCTAAATGTGTTTATCATGTCTTCAAACACAAAAAAATCATTTTACTTCCATGTGACTATCTTTGTTAGTTTTCTTTTAGGAGGTGCCTCCACATAGTTTGTATAGTTCAGTTTTCTTCTTGTGATATTTGAACATATTCAAAATGGTTTCATTTATACTTCAAATGACTTCTCTGTTTCATTAGTATCTGTCTGTTCATACAGCTGGCGGTACAAGTAAACCAGAGTTACATTATTAAAATATAAGAAAATGTAATCAGCACCCTGTATTATCCAAATTTGCTTAGACTATTTACTTAAGATGAGAAAACATTTGCAAAATATAATGAAATATACCGGATGCATTCTGGTGGGGTTTTTTTCTGACAGGATACTTTCCTTCATACAAATATCATCAGTTACAATCATAAAAAAACGAGATCTTCTTTCTTAGTATAAAAACATACATTAGTTTAGTATATGTTGTTTCCCTAGGCATTTTTTGGTATTCTAAGATGGTCTGTGCCTGCAGTGGTTTCATAATAGTCCTTTGCTTCTATAATTTAACAATCAGTTTTGATGGAAAGCTACCGTGGAGATGCTATTATTCCAGCTTTAAACACTACTTACTATCACACTTTTCCATTTAGTGAAATGAATAACACCATCTTCAGAAAAAAAAAAAAAGGATGTATTTTACTTTGCTGTAAATCTATTTATAAATATTTCAAGATTAGCTTCTTTTCAATAACCATATTCAGTATAGGGTTGTACCCCATAGAAATCACTAGAGTTTATTGTCCATGTAGTAGTTTATTAAGGTGACATTCCACCTATTGTTCTTTAGTTTACAGAAACTATGCCAAAGATTCTTGCAATATGTATTGGAATTTACTTGCTTAGAACAAGCTAAATGCATTGTATCTGCTCCATTTTTTGTCCCAGAGGATATTTTTATTTAGCAACCATTATTTATTGAAATTATTTAAAATTCTCAGGGAGTTTGTAAAGAGATAGCAGTCTGCCTTGTTTCCCTGTTAACCCCCTGCTTCACCCTCCCCCAACTTTTTTTTTTTTAAACAGGTCCACATTGTCTAGAAATGACACAAAATCTACTGAAGGGGAAATCATTGTCATATGCCAAACTCCCAGATTGGCTCTTTTATTAATTTAATTCAATTTCAAAATAATTTGGAAAATGCAACATGTTTACTTTATCAGTGCTTAACTTGGTCTGAGATATGCATGAGTGCCATAGAGAAACAACATCTTTCCATAGATTTTGTTCATTTTACACTCCAGTGATCCCTCTTGACTTTAGCAATTTTTTTTTTAAAGGACAAGCCCAGAGAATTTCTGTTGGTCATCATCTTTTTTGTGGGTCCAACACAAGTAATTTTCCAGCGATTAAATACTTTGTTCTGTAACCCATTCCATGTTTTCTTCTCCTGTTTCTTCTGTTCACTAAATAATATTGTTGAATTCTGTTTATATTTGAGAGGACCAGTGGCTTCTCCACCTGCCTGTGCCTAAGGACATCTGGTTTTGCTAAAGATCATTGGCAATTTTCTCATCAGGACAGTTGAGATTTACCTTCTTACATATTTTATTTCTTTTTTTAGTTATTATTTTAGAATTTCCTCTTCCAACATTAAGGCTGATTTCAAATTCACTAAATGAGGGTACTAGGAGATGTCAAAAGTACAGTATGTCAGCTTCCTGAATGCTCAAAGCATGACATAAAGGATTTGGGAAAAGAGGAAAATAAGTGATGGTGGAAGCCCAGGGAGACAAAGTACTTTCCTTCTGGTTTTGTGAAAAGCTTAGAGCCTTCACAGAGGACTAGGACAGAATTTTTTACTAAGAAAAAAATCAAGATATTTTTATGATGATTTTAATGACAAAATAAATGAATAGGTAAATTAGAAATTAAAACACTTCAAGAAACATTTGACATGTCAGACAAGATATGAAAAATACTCTTGAAGTATATTTTGATACAGGATGAATAGGTAAAAGTGATGAGAGTTTTCATCCCCTCTGGATGTTACCTGTTTAGAGAAGCTATGGAATATAATGCCAGTGATAGCAACTAAAGTAAATCTGTGTGTTTATATTACATCTTACAGGGGAGCATGTTTTTCCAGATTGTAGATAATGGGGGGAAATTGGTTATGAAACCATGTATTTTCCTTATTTGTCCTTTGACTTTTCTTGTATTTTCAATATTTAAATGTGAGGTTAAAAGATCAAAGCTTTTCAGTGTTTCACTGGAAAAAAATTCATTCTGAATTGATGTGTTCCATTGGTCAGGTTTGAAGAATGCTTAAGTAAATCAAGGTTTATCTTAGAGATGACCCTTAATGCATTTATGCATTATGTCAGAGTAGCAGGGATTAAAGGAGTTCCTGTCACCAAATTGAACTGCTTTGCATATGAATTTCCAAGGTCAATGAATGCCTGATTTGTTTGCTTTTTAAGTTTCACCATGTTTATAAAATATAGTCCTAAATCATTGGCAGTGTTTTGCTGTTTAGAACTTCAGACACACACTGCATGTTCTGCACTTGCAGATCAGTGGGATTTTCAACCATTTGGAAGTTGAGCACTGGGAATCCCATACTAGACTGTCTCACAAAGGCCATGTTCGTGCATGTTACTGCTTACTTGGTGACCCCACATTAATTAGAAGAGGATGGAGCAAAACACAGTTTCAGATTTCTGGATAATGAGTCATGCAGTGCTTTGATATAGATAAATCTATAATTGCAGGGAGCAGTAAGACTAGACTAGGCCCTTGACTTCAAATATTGTGTTTCATATGGCAGCAGATGTGCAGCAAAATCAGCAGGATTCAGGAGACCTGCATGAGCAGGGCAGTAGACATTGGATAGTTGTGATAGCTGTATTCATAACTCAAGGAATGAAAGCTCATCACTGCTTGCTTTATGGAAAACAAATATCTCCTTGAACTGATATATTTTTTTCAGTTCAATAATATTGGGAAATGGCTGTTGGGAGGGGCCAAAACCAGGAATCCATAATAACTTTGCCATTACTCTGCTGTGTAAACCCTAAAAATAATTTCTCTTGTGCTTTAGTTTCCCCATTTAGAAGAGCAATCCTGATACTTTCCCCACACAAATATTTTGATGTGTGCAAATAAAATACTCTGTAAAGATGCTGTAGGTGGAACTGTTACAGGTAACTATTAGTCTGCCTCTTCAGGTTTGTACAAGATGATATTTCTGCTTATACATTTTGTTTTGTTATTAATATTAATTTTACCTTCGTTGCTTTGTTTTTATTTTGACTCTGTTGTCCCAATAGAACCAGGGACAGAAATGATCAGTGGTCCATTTTCCATGCGGATGATAAAGCAGAAATATATTTGTTTATCCATGCAGTACAAACTTTTTTTTTCCTCATTTATGTTTTATTACAGATCAGAGAATACAATGGACAGATGCAGGGAATTACCAGTGGAGGATTTGCATCCTTAACATTTGATGGAACTGTAGGAGCTCCAGTAATTCCTCGAACTTCAAGCAGAGTGTACACGTTCATGGACGAAGAACAGAAAACAGTAGAAGAATTACGTATTTGGGCAGCCAGCAATATTTCCATCTCTGGACCAGCAACAAAATTGTCTGGTGTTCAGCCAATGCTGTTCTTTGATCTCACTTGCCAGCTGGTAGGAAAAGCAAAAGTGGATGGATCTTCTTTTCTTCTAAAGGTAGACTTCCTTTTTAAAAAAAAGATTTTTAAGGTTTATTAAGACATTGTGATACATTTTTCAATAAAACTGACAAATTAATTTAAATAATACTGTGTAGATAAATGTTTTAATGTAAACAAATCTGTGATCCTTAGCTATTTTGTTTTCATGAAAACAGAATAGAAGGCCTGGTTGTCTTTGAAGTTGATCTCCTGATTTGTTTTTTTACAGGGATTTGTTAAGATGGCATTATATAGATCATAATTTCACAAAGATTTGTAGATAAATGTCACAAGATTTCTTAATCTTGAAAAATGTTGTTAGTTTTAAACTGTATCCTTGTTTTCTAGTTAGCAGCATTTACTGTTTGTTTTTCTAGATTTGATGGATATGATTAGTGCAGTAAGTAGCACTTCCTAAAAAGAATGAATGGATTATGTTATTGTGATGGATTTCAGGTAGCTTCTTTTAGTTACACATAAGCACTCTGGGCATCAGTGCTTACTGAAAATACAAAATGCAAAGTGCCACAGCACAGGAGAGCAGATTCTAAAGGGGATCCTTAACATTAACTAAATGAAAAGGAGATCTCCACAATATTCCCAGTTTTAGTTCAGATGTATTGGTCTGGTGTTATTCCAAGACCCTTCTGTATTTATTTTTGTATTTGATTGTTAAAACATAAGTAATGATCAAGCTTTTATTTTCCATTTTGTGACTTCATAAATTTATTTTTTGGCTCTACTGTGTTAAACGGTATTGTTACAATATTTTTAGAATTAGCACTTGGTATTACTCCTTCATTGAAGCAGCAAAGATTTTTCTCATACAGAACAATGCATTATTACAGAGAAACAAACCTTAAGTGCACGCTATAACATATTCTGCAACTGCTGCAAACATTTCCATTTAAATATGCCTTGTGAAATAGATGGCAAATGAGACCCAGTAAATTTTCATGACTTTGTAGACTGTAATTAAGTTGTTCATTAATAAGTGTATATTCTGCATTGGAGGACCTTTTGCAAGGACAGAGACAAGTGCTTTCTTAAATTGCTATTTCTTTACACACTTCTCTGTGTTGTAAGACCTGAAGTTGATTTTGTCACTTTTGTATTGTAAAGGTGATGACTTGGGGAAATTTTAGGGTAGACTTAGGAAGGTAGAAGTCTGAGGTCAAATAATGTTTGATTAATTATTTAGTATAGAATATTAAATACTTAAATATGTATTACAATACATTCGACAAGCTTAATAATGCTACATTAATATTCTGTTGCTAAATTCCTCCATTTTTCAACAATAGCAAAATCCATTTCTGATATTAAATACTGGTTGTGATAGAAAAGAAACCTTTCTAAAAACTTATCAACGGATTTTCTGATTTTTTTCTTGATTTGCTAAATAAAAAAAAGCCAAACAAAACAGCCAATTCAGTACCAGCTCAAATTGAATGATCATTAAATATTATTTTATTGTATTATTTTGATTATCCATTTTATAATAATGTTTTACATTTATTTTTTCCAAGTATAACTGTTAAATTAATTATTGATTGTACTATGAAAAATTATTAATATTATTATAAGCATTGATCTCATGTACCTAGTGGAGACTGCTTCAAAGACAACTAAAATGAATTTCAGCAATTTTGTGCATCACCTGTAGCATAGCTTTTAAATAACACTTGATAAATTAATTCCTGTTTGCACAGCAGCAGAGTTGTGCATGGCATAAAGATGGTATCTCTCAGCTGTTAGTGTTTTCCATTTTCTGAGAATTTTGTTAGTCATATTGGAGGAGACTATTGATGGAGATGTATTCATCTCCATATTGATCGAGATGTATTTCTAGAATACACACTAGAAATTATTCTGTCATTTATGCCTTTCATAAGATTTATTATTAATCTTATCTAATCTAATCAAAAGATTTATTATTAATCTTTTCTTCCTTTCTGTCTGTCAGTTAAATTGTGTACATTAAGATAAGTCATACAATGAGCAAATTCTGTTGAAGATAGAAACAGGTGTTTTGTCTTCCCATTTCAGTGTTTTCCAACCATGGTGATCAAATGGTATCACTAACTTTTCTTTAGCTCAAATCTATTCATGGCTAGTAATAGAACAATTTGTTGTTTCTTACTCAGAATTAATTTAACCAGTTTTGGGTTTTATTCCAGTATGCATTTTTGAAAGCAGGACAGTTTGAAACCAGGATGTTTTCATGTTTAGTGTAAAGTAGAGCTTCCAAGCTCCTGAGGTAGGGAGCTTTATCTGTTTTTTTATTTGTGCAAGAAAAAAACCCAATCCCAACTACTTTTGAAAATTAATTTTTTTTGAGAAGTTTCACTAGCTTAGAAATTCCTCTAAAAGGTTCCCTGGTGCCAGCCCAGTTAGTTCCTCTGGCAAAGGACATTTTAGAACTGAGTTACCATCCTTTTTATCTGAACAGAGAGCATGCAGGTTATTTTAATCCATTTGTCAGATCATCTCTCCAGTGTAGAATTACCAAAGTGTACCAAGTAAAGCCAGTTGAAAAATAAGGACAATTTTGACAAATTCAAGATTCTTTACTCTGTCAGTGACTAAATTTGTACTATATATGCACTAAATCTGTTTTCAAGCTGAGTTCTGGAAAAGATGTGATAATTCAAGCAATAGACAACCTCTCTTTCAAAGGTGGTTTTAAGTATTTCATGGTGCAGGATCAGAAGATAACAGGCTTTTTTTTATCTGTGGCAGCATATACCACCTCATTATCTGGGTCCTTCAGAATATACTCTTATTTGGCAACATAATTTGATGTCATGGGTCATTTTCGCTGTGAATAGTTTTCCCTTTTATCTCTTGATTCTGGATGCATATTCCATGAGTTATTCCTGGTGCATTTATACATGGCTCTGCTGATTCTTAGATCTTTTCCTGTGGGTCTGTTGATCCAAAGCAGTTAAGTATAAGAGGCAGAAATCCTTTAAAAATTAGGCATTAGCATCTTTTTTTCTTGCCCTCTGCAGTGTCTAACTCATGGGACAAAGTTTGGAATCACAAACTGTCTGAAATTGGAAAATAGGTTCTCCTGCTGAACCTATATGTATGAAATTCTATGAAAAGCAGCATTTCAGAATTCAAAATGCTTCTAGATTTTTGTTTTACTATGCCAGTAAATCAAACCATTATTTTTGAGTCTTTGAGAAGAGTGTATCTTCAGAAACTCAGGAGACCATAGTTAACAGAATAATGTTTGGGTTAAGAAGTAAGATTTTGAGTTCAGGATGTTAAGCCTCTCAGTAAACTTACCTTTTCACAACACTTTGATAGCTGAAAAATAACTATTGATATTTCAGTACTTGATAGTACTTGGAGTGTATCAAGGATTTAGCTTTAGGCAGACAAGTTTTAAAATCCTTGTTAATAAATACAGGTTAACTGTTGATGCTTTTTTAATATGTTCTGGGTAACTAGCAGTGTTTACTGCTATAGGAGATCATCAGTAATTAAGTCAATATATGCTGTATATGCATATGCAGTATATGTATATGCACTCAGTATTCACATACTGTAGCTGGAGTGGTTAAAAAACCCTAATAGCAGGATTAAAATATTAAGTACATACAGTTCTGCATATGATGAATTCTGATAGTTGTGACAGCTGACCCTGAGATTGTCTCAGCTGGTCAGAGCATGGTGCTGAGAGCACCAAGGTTCAGGGTTCAATCCCCATTGAACCATTCACTTAAGAGTTAGACTTGATGATCTTTGTGGGTCCCTTCCAGCTCAGAATATTGTGTCATTCTGTGCTGGATAAGCAGCTGAGCTTTTGCTAGAGCTGTTCTTTTTTATTTAAATATTAACAAATTCTAGGTCTTAGCCCTTGATTATGCTGTCTGTAGAGGTTATTTTATGCTCTGTAAGGAGTAATAAGTTACAAAATCCTGTAAGGTCTAATTCAAGTATTTTAAGGACTTTTAGCTTGAGACTACAACTAAGAGCTCTTACTGTTAATAATTTTTAATTTAAAGAAATGTAAAAAGTTGTTTAAAGTCTGAATCTAAAGTATTCTGAGCACGTTGAAATAGTTCATTTGCATTGCAGGTTTGGGATGGCACTGAATGTCCCTACCCCACATGGAAGGTGCCTGTGGAAGCAAAAGACCTGGAAGGAGAAAAAGTTCTTCTTCATCAGCTGAAAAATCTAGCAGTGGACATTCTGGTCTATGATAATCATGTACAACTGGCAGAATCACTTAAGGTAATGGACAGTTTGGTATTTCAGTCTCTTTTTGTGGCCTGTTTTCTGATTAGAAACCACTTCAGAGAATGCATCAATTCAGTTCTGCTGTAATTAGTTTCATGTGCCTCTTTATCTTTCACAGTGTTTCCCATACCTTTTATTTGAATGCAAAACTTCTTCAACATGTGTTAAACAGGCTCATTACCCAAAAATTGCCATGAAAAATTCTTCAAATTAAGCACTTTCCAGACACTGCAGTATAATAGATAATACAGTGAAAATAATGCTCTCAGAAAATGTATTCTGTGCTTTAGAATTATTTTTAAATTACACAATCCAGTGTTAAACCTGTAGTCCTGTTAAGGACCTTTAATTCTTAAATCAATAGAAGATTTTCTGTTCTATAAGTTGCAGTTTGCAGTGCAATCTTCATTTAGTAGGTCAGTAATGTTGATTATGCTTAGATAGAGAAAACAACAACATAATTAAACATCAGATCTTCAGCAATACTGCCATCTTGCTTCTGAATACTGGAACTTGGCAAAGAATGCATCTTTCATTTCATGCCTTGCCTGCTATACTCAAGATCATTTTTAAGAAAACATTTTACCAGAAAATAAAGATAAAGTGATAACCCTTTTTTATGCTGGGTCTATCAGCAGACATGAAATCTTTTTGATAAATTAACACCCATTCGTAAGCAAATTAGAGATAGCAAAATAAGTGTAAGAATTTGTGTAAGAATTCATAACAAAATCGACAGAAGTGTTTCATTACTTTCAAGTTCTCTTCCAGAAATTTTCTCTTGCTAACTGGCGTAAAAAAACTATGTTCTAGTGAAATGGTATGTTTTGAATCTGAAGGATAAAAGTATTGTAATATTAATAAAACATATTTTCTTGATTAGCTGATAATACTCCCTTTATTATTCTCCCCCATTTATATTCAGGAACTGAATCACAATATATATTGAGTATGTGATACATGGGATGTCTTCATACTCACTCTCAGTTTTTTACTTCCTACCCACTTGCTCTTTCACATTTCTGGAGCATTTTTATCTTTGCTGGATACTGCACTGTGTAGTAGAAGGTTTAATAATTTCAAAGGAAATTGTTAGGAAACCCCCCTTGACCTCTTGTGGGTGTTTTTCTCCCTCTGGCTATATCCAAAGTTGCAGTAGTTTCAGTCATAGAAGTTGTACAAGTTTCAAATTAGTTAATTTTTGTACACCACTTTCTAGTTGCTTGTCTTAGTGGAGTTATCAATGAAAAAGGGCTAATATGCTGACAGCTACATTTCAGAAATACTTACGAGTTTCAGATTGCAACATGTAGAATTAATTGCATTTCAGAGAATAATTTTTACCTCTATATATACATACATATATATTATAAAACTTGGCAGGAACTTTCCCTAGAATAGAGGGGTTTCTTTAAAGGCTTTTAAATACTAGTGGAAGTTATGTCATATCATGAAAAAGTATAATCCAAATATGTATGATATTTTATTGAGTTCAGGATCTTGTTATGCAAAGTTTTTTTTAAATTCATTTTTGTAGCAGTGTAGAACTTGCAGATGATTAGTGTATTCACATGCACCTTCCCAAGTGTGATTAGATATTTTGCCAGTTTGTGGTTTCAGACACAATAAAAAGTGCACTATTTTTCAGTCTTCTTTTTTATACTTAGCACTAGCTTAGAGTGGCCTTTTTTAATGTAAGTTGTTATAGAATTGTTAGGTTACAGTCTTGCCTGTTGTATACCATTTGCAATGACAGTTACAGCTTGGAAATTATTTTTTATGTAGGAGCAATCTGTTTTATGCAACCTTGATAACAAGAAGGGCAGATTTATAAAATCTTGAAATGCATGTTCTTATTTTAAAATCTTATCTGTAGGCACATGTTCAGACAAGTAATTAAGTACTACACACCAGAGAAAGTGGGTAATATATTACAGGGAATTTTTGTCAAATCCTGGAGCACATTGTCAAGGAAATTGCTGGAAGAGTTTTTTAAAAGCTTTAGATCATCTGTCCAGAGAATACTGAAGATATGAGCACTTTATCTCATTTTTTAAGATAAACAATACTTAAAACGTTCAATGGAGAGAACTTTAGTTAAAGGAATGTTGAAGGTATGCTGCTTTTAATACTGTAAGTAGACTCTTCCCTCTATATTTACTGGCCTTCCTTTCCTGCTGGGCCAGACTGTGGCTTTTCAGCAGCACAAAAAGAATTTTCAGAAATCTCATCTCTGAAGCAGATTATTATTGCCTGGCACATAAGGACATGGCAAGACCTACAGCTAAGCAAAGAAAATGGTGTTCACTGCTTTTTCTGGAATTTCCCTCTTCCTCTGGCAATGTACCTGGAGTAGATGAAGCTTTCTCATAACTGTAGGAACCCCAGCCTACAACTGACTGGAATGCAGTTGCTTCACATTCTTTAGCCTTATGCCAATCTTCCAGAACTTCTCAGGGCTCACTGACTTTGCCATGCAGTTTGGGAGTAGGTCTGTGACATGAGTTTTTCCATTTGGGGCATTTTGCTCAGGTGGTAAGCATCAAGGTGAGTGAGTGGATTCAGCTGCCCACAGTTGGTCAGAGATTTCCTTATTTCTGTCTTTCACTGAATGTGTGATCCAGTGCATTCCTCTTCTGGCTTGATGCCACCAATTCTGTGTTGCCATCCATTTTATGGATAGTGCAATTGAAACAATTAACCTTGAGCGTACATACGAGTCCATAGTTCCACAGTATTTGCTCTGTGTTACATATCTTCAGATGTAGAATCTGTATATTTTCAGCTGTTTCTCCCACCATATCATGCCATGTCTTTCATTATAGTAGTTTGGTCTAAGAAGTTTGCTTTCCTAGTGCCAGAGTCCCATTTTCAATAAACAACTCAAATGAGTTAACTGCATGGCCACAATATCTAGCTTCATAGATTACATTCCTAGGTAACATTCCTTTAACATGTGAGTTGTATTCTCCCACTTCTGTCTTTTTACTCATTGAAAAGGAAAAAAAAAAAAAACAAAAGAAAAAGTCCAAGATCTACTCTTGAGTCTTTCAAATTCTTAAATGGATTTAAGTTGGTATTTCTTACTGCCCAAATGCCATGTATATGCTTTGTCTCATTTGCAGAAAGTTGTGCACTATTTACTCAGTAAAATTAGTGCTATAAAAAGGATGACAAAGAAATACCACTGAATATAATCAACCAGAAGTATAGGCAGTAAAATAAGTACAGGTGAATTTGTTAGGTGATTCCTGTAGATAAAGACAGCCTCTTGTGTGCCTTTTTTTACAAACATTATTATTTACCTGCAATGACACATGCTGTTATGAATTCAGTGAATTCCAGAGTGATTGTGAGCACACTATATGTTTTGAAATAATCATGAGAATTTCCTGTGCTAAAAAGCTGTTCTAGTTAACTGGTTACAGGGAGCTGCATATATGACTTCTGCATTTCAATTCTCTCTACCCCCTTAATATGTATTCTTTAAATAGTAATATTTGAATGAGTCTGAAAATAGGGTACTAGTATATTTTATATTACTACAAGAAATGTTTTTATTCACCTTAATTTCACTTTTTAATTAACTTCCTCTAAACGAGGTAGGTCATAAACAGAACTGCTGCTAAGTCAAGTAAGGAGCTGGGTTTGTAGATTTTAGTGATGGCTCTGTGAATCATGGTGTTTACTTTAATGTAGATCGCAATTTCTTCTGAGTCAGAATACAAAGAGCTGTGTATGTATATAAAGAGCTCGGTCTGCAGGTGTTCTGTAAACAGAAATACAGTAACATTTTCATCCACAGCATGTACATTTGCTCTGTGCTTTTAACAGTAAGCAAGGCTGCCTCCCAAAGGAATCCAGGGAAACAGCATGCTGTCCACCCAGGCATCTCTACACTGGCATTCAGAACCTTACAGACCCTTTCAGTATTTGGCAATGCTGATTATTATGCATCTCTTTTTGTAGTTCAAAGTGATATTAGAAATAAAATTTAACATGTGATATAAAATATAAAATTTTCAGAAAATGATCCAATAAATGTTTGGAAGATTATTTTTTAGTGATGATAAATCTTGCAAAGTGAATGTTATACTAAAACTTGTAGCTCAGTTGACTTTTGTGTGAATTTCAACACACAAGTTTAGAAAGCAGACACAGCATTTTATATTCTTGGCTTCTGAGCTCTCCTCTCCCACATTTAATTTTTTGTGTTTATACATAAAGAAAATACTAATTTTTTATATACTATCTTTTAAAAAAATTGTCAATTAAAATCAACTTTTTCCTGCTTATATGCAAATTATAAGAAAATTTCTTGGCAGTAAGGAAGTAGTTTGACACTGTTTTAGTTACTTTAGATTATTCCATCAGAACTTAGGTAAGAACTTTTTAAGAAACTTTCTCCAAAAGCATTCATCATAGTCATTAGATTAGTCTTCTGATGTGAGTGTCCTTTGCTTTTTTGGATATTCGTAATTAAGTAAAATCAGCATCTGGAAAGGAAGAAAAGAATGTCTTTGGATAAGCCTCTTAACTGCCATCTAAATGCACAAACTGTCCTGGTGGTGCTTTGAATGAACAAAATTAGCTGCTTACTAACAGGGCAGATGAATTAAAAGTCTGGTAAGAGCTCCATGCCAGAAGCAAAATAGGTGCAAGCTGAAGTGCACTTTTTGTGTCCCTGCTGCCTTAATTGGAAAATGTGCTGCCTTTTTCATGTGTGATTATTGTTCAAAAGAGCAGTTTGATACCAGCATTATGTAGTCATAGTTTGTTCCTTGATAAAGAGGAGGATTCTAGACACAGGTTGCTGCTCCATCTGCTTTTATGCATATATACATGTGTTTAAAAGTGCTGTCGTATGACATGACCAATCCAATCAAATAGGAATACTTTTTCAGTTTCCACTGGTTAAAGTTGGATCTCAAGCTGTCAATATTAATAAATTGACTGCTGTAATATTAATTTTAACTGAAGTAAATTTAAAATAATTTGTCATTTCTATCAAGCTATATAAAAGATATTTAGAATTAATATAAAACCAGGTTGTTGAGCATGTGTAGCTTCCCAGCTGTTATCTGGATCTCAGATTATATTAAAAAAAATTTGGTAACTGTGTAGTTGAGTCTCCATTTTATCTGCCTTTAGAACATTGGCCTTGGTTTGGTTGTTTGGTTGGGTGTGTGGGTTTTCTTTGGGGGATAATGGGAATGGTATTTTGAGATAAAACCAAACTTATAAAGATGTGTCCAGTGTTCACCACTCCATAACTTTCTTTTTAATAGATAGCCTAAGTCCATTTGTGTAATTTGGCAAAGCTCTTTCAGAAAACACAAAATCATTCTAAGCAAAACAAGAAGCATATTCTTCATGAGCCTGAGGAGATCTAACAGAGATAGGAAAAATTCCAAGACCTTTCCGTTTCTAACACGTATTGTCTTTTTTCCTGGTGCTATATTATCTGTAATGTAAGATATGATGGATAAATAAGCAGATATATTTCTATGTACATGTAAACATAGTAAGCCATGCACAATGATGAGCAGGAGGTCAATTGCTAAATGTCATCATTCCCAGGACAAATCACAGGGTGTCAGTCTCTGCCAAGCTGTGTTGCGAATATAGAAGGCAAATTGTGCCCTTGGGAAAGGAATATATTGACTCGTTTGGTCTGTCTTCTGAAGTGTGTTTGAGAATTAGATTTATTAGGAAGGTAGGAAGGCTTATTCTGGTTCTGAATCACTCTTTGCTGCCAGTAATGGTTCCTGATAAACCAAAACAAACAGATCTGCTTTGGGCACAAGAGTTGAACAAGGTAATCACCAGAGATCGCTGCCAGCTTCAGCTGTTCTGTGGTTCAGTTAAAACAAGGAAGAAGCTTCATGAGCACTAGAATTTTCCATGTAAATAACTAACTTTGTGTTATCAAGGTGGGTTTTTCTTTTCCTTTCAGATTGGAAGTTTTCTGAGAATTTACAGTATTCATGCAAAAGAAGCAAGTGCTGACAATGAAGATGTCACACGTATGGAATTTCATCTTCATGGTGGCACCTGTTATGGTCGAGGAATAGGGGTCTTGCCAGAAAGTAACCCAGATGTTAAGGAACTAAAAGAGTAAGTAGTATGTGTAGATGTTTGGTTAGATTGTTCTTGAAAACTCTAGGCTAATGTAACAGCTGTACAGTTTAGAATTGTAAATGTTTCTAAGAATCAGAAACTTGAAAACAGAATATGTCTTTAGCACCACTAAGATGAGAAGTATTTGGACAGATAGAAAATAAAGGCAATTTTTTCAAATTTAAAATACAGTACAGATCAAGATTTCAGTTTTGATTAGTTTAATTCTAATTATGCACATTTTAACCTGTGCATATGTGCTACTTGAAAGTTGTGAGACTTAAAGATGTTCACAATGAAGCAGATAATTTACATTCTTTACTAAACTGTCTTACAAGGAATCAGAATCATTTAGGCTGAAAAACACCTTTAAGATCATCAAGTCCAAATGTAAGCCTTGTCCAAGTGCCCCACTTGGACATGTCTCTTACCCATGTCTCTTACGTGCCACATCTGCATGGCTTTAAAACATCTCCAGGGATGATGACTCTTGCCTGAGCTACTTTTTCCAATGCTTAACAGCACTTTCTTGAAGAAATTTTTCATGATATTTAATGTAAGCCTCCCCAAGCACAACTTGAAGCCATTTCCTCTCCTTCTGTCACCTGGGAGAAGAGGCTGACCCCACCTCAACACAACTTCCTGTCCCTTTGTTGTAGAGATAAATGTTAAGGTCCCCCCTGAGCTTCCTCTCCTTCAAGCTGAACCATCCCAGCTCCCTCAGCTGCTCCTCACAGGACTTGTGCTCCACCTCCTTCACCAGGTCCCTTTTGGCTGAGCCTCTTTGCAGCCACTCTGCCCCAGTCTGTAGCTCTGCATGGGGTTGTTGTGACCCAAGTGCATTTCACCTTGTCCAACCTCATACACCTGGCCTTGGCCATCAGTCCAGCCTGCCCAGAGTGCTCTGCAGAGCTTACCTACAGTCCAACAGATCTACACTCCTGCTCAGCTTGGGGTCACTTGCAAACTCACTGACAGTGCTGTGCCCTCAGTCACCTTGTCCTCATCATTGCTATAGGTACTAAACAGAGCTGGCACTGGTACTGAGCCCTGGGGAACACCATTTGTGAGTTGCCACCAGCTGGAGGTAACTCCATTCTCCACCACTGTCTGGGCCTAGCCATCCAGCCAGTTTTTTACCCAGCAAATGTGCACCTGTCCCAGCCATGACAGCCAGTTTCTGCAGGAGAATACTGTGGGAAACAGTGTCAAAGGCTTTACTAAGGTCCAGGTAAACTACATGCAGAGCTGTGTCCTCATCCACTAAGCAGGTCAGTTTGTCATAAAAGGAGATGAAGTCGGTCAAGCAGGACGTGTCTCATAAACCCTTGGTGGCTGTGTCTGATCCCCTGGGTGTCCTTCATGTGCTGCATGATGGCACACAGCGTCATCTGCTCCATGGCCTCCAGCACTGAGCTCAGGCTGACAGGCCTGTAGTTCCCTGGATAGCCCCTCTGACCCTTCTTGTAGATAACCATCTGCATTCCACTGGGACCTCCTCACTTACCCAGGAGTGCTGATAAATAATAGAAAGTGGCTTTTTGAGCACTTGAGCCAGCTCCCTCAGTATCCTTGGGTGCATCCCAGCCAGCCCCCTAAACCTGTGTAAGTGGTGTAGCAAGCAGATCAGTGACCACTTCCTCTTAGATTATGGAGACTTCATTCTGCTCTCCATCCCTGTCTCCCAGCTCAGGAGTCTGGATAGTTAGAGAATAATTGGTCTTATTATTAAGATGAAGGTAAGGAAGACATGAAGTACACTGGCCTGTTCCTTCATCATGTTTCCCCCCACATCCAATATAGGATGGAGATTCTCCTTAGCCCTTCTTTTGTTCATGATATATTTGGTGAAGCTGTTTTTGTTGGCTCATACAGCAGTAGCCATATTAAGTTCTAGTCAGATTTTGGCACTTCTAATTTTCTGCCTCCTGAGTGATTTGCCCTGGCTTCTAAACATTATAAACTTTTTTTATTCCTTAGAAAACGCTAAGTAACCAAGTCCATATTCCATTATCAGGAATTCTGTTTCTATTAGTACATATTTCTTCTGGCACTATTTTGTATTTAGTGTTCCAGAAATGATTTGGAAAGTGTCTTGTGTGCATCATTAATATCATATTCTGAAAATTCTGGTTCAGTTGAGTTTTAGGTCTCTGCTGGAACATTTATGTCTGAACATTGTACCTGTGTATATAAATAGGTTTCATAGAAGTGTCTATGTAATCCCATATATATATGTGTGTGTATGATGATATATAAAAGATTTCTCTAGATTGTAAAATATTTTGCCATTTATCACTAGATTCCTAGAATCTGTTACTCTGACAGACAGTCAGAATATGGAAAGCTGTTCAATGGACATAGACAGCACTTTTGGCAATGTTACAGGTAAGAGCAACTGAAAGCTGATTTGCTCTTTCTTCTAATATATATCTATGGTCAAGATAAGGTCACAGTTACTGTTTCTCTATGTGTGTAATGCTACTTTCACATTCAAAGTCCTAGAGAATTCCTTCAGTTTATTAGACTGGAAATTTACATTACTCTTTCTTGTCTTCCAGCACAAGCATTTCATATTACATGGAAAGATACTTTTGTAGGAGTTAGTGATTAAATTCTTAAACACAGATGGTCTTCTTAATCATTCTATATTAGATCAGAGAGTACAGTTATGTAAGTGCTTCCCTCTAAAGGGAAATTCTGCAGAGACAGGCACTGAAAATGCTACTAAACAGCTGCCTGTAGAGGAGCCCTTCTTAAGCTGTTGGATGGAAAGTTGTGTCAGTGACAGAGGTGTAAGGTGTGCTTCCATGGAACAGTGATATCTTGTAGACGGTTCTACAGACCCCATATTATTTTCTGAATGGTATTTTAGCCTGGGAAAAGAATAACTAAAAGGGAATTAAACTCTAAAGCTGGTTTGACATAGTCTTTATCTTTGCTTCGAGCTTTTAAAAATCTGTGTTTCTCAGCTATTATTAACATAAAAACATAAGACATTTCTAAAAGGATGCAAAAGTTACAAAAGTTAAGAATAAATGCTTCATGTCCAGTCCATAAATGAAAGTTTAGAAAAAATGGTGTGCCTTTTTACTGCACTCACTGTGTGTAATAGAGGTTGTTCAGAGGGGGGACCAGACAGTCTGTATTGGTTATAGAATAATGTACTTATGTTCTTGTCCAGAAGGATCACAGGGGATGAATACAATTTATGTCAGCAGATCACTCACAGTATACTTCTGAAAAGTGTTCACTTTGATAAGCATTGCTATTTAATGTATAGGCTAACTTCCCCTCTAATACATTAACTCTTGATATGCAGTGTATGTCTTCTGCTTACTTTTGCTGCTTTTTTTTTTGTTTGTTTGTTATTGTATTCTTTTCATACATTATTGGGATTTTCATTTGTTCAGCTTTTGGTTTTGTGTGTATCTACCTGTCTATCTATGTACCTACCTGTTTGTATGTGTCCATATGTCCATTTTTGTATGACAAAAAAGGAAAGAAGGAAGGAAAATAATTAGGCAGTTCTTCTTTATTTTAGATCTCGAACTGCACTTACAGAGATGTCAGCAGTTATCTGTTACAGGTAGGTAACATTTTGAACATAAGGTGAATTTTAATTTTGCTGAAGTACAAAAGTAGTTTTGAAACGTTATCTTAAAGGTTATTACAGGAAGAGCTATTCTAAGAGTATAAATTCCAAGAGCATAAATGCATGTATGTTGTACTGGGTTTATTTGTTTTTAAAGGAATAGAGCATATTTGTATATTCTACTTTCATTTGGTTTTTGTACCTGTTGTGTTTCTGTACCCTGAAGTACACCATGCTCCCACAGCCTGATTTGATTTATCTTATTGACTGTAATAAGAAGTTCTATTGATAAAACTGAGCCTGCAGCTGGGAAGGAAAGAAAAGTTGGAAATAAAGAGAAATGCATACCTGCCATTGTCATTTCCAGTATTACAGATGTTATGGTGATTAATAGTATGTGTGGTGCTTTTTCATCTCTCTGTGTATTGTTTTGCAGTATTAACAGATCATCAGGATTTGAGTAACACAGAACTGAAAACCATAACAAATAGCACAGCTCCTCAACAGTATCGCATTAGAGCAAAGCTGAGGACTTACAAACCCCAAAAGCTCCATCAGTCTGTTAAACTTCATTGTTCCAAATGCAACTCCTTGTAAGTGTTTTGCACAGTATTAGTAACTAGGAATTGCTCTGTGTGTTTTGGGATGCCTAGATTTCCAATGTGTTTTCAACTTCTGTGTAAGATAAGCTGAATGTAAATTTATATCATTTTGTGCAAAGATTTGAAACTCACTGATAATAAGTAGGAAATTTTTAAACCATCAGATGAGTTCCATTTACAGAATCCTTTGAGTGCTTTCAAAACAATAATTTTTCTTTATTTGCAAATGCAGCAGTACAGTTTTTTCCATACCACAGTTGTATAGAAGTATCTTAAGTGTTTCGTTATTAGTTTTAAAATGGGATATGCAAAGAGGTAGAATAGTTTTCAAATGAATTAATGAAATACCTTTGACTAAAGTGTGTCTTCCAGACAAGGCATCTTCTGGATCCAAAAATATCAGGAAAATCACACAACTTGTGCAATTTGGATGGCCTGCATTATTGCTTCTCTGTGTATGACAGGTGGAAATGCAGGAATGGTGCACTCCAGCAGGACAGGATAGAAACTGTGTGGTGCAGAGCTGCAGATTTTCCCTTGATAGTACTTAGGTGAAGCTATCCTGGTCCTGTCCTGTTTTTCTCTCCCTCAGTTTATGCAAAGTCAAACAGACTAAAACATAAAGCTTGAAATTATATAAGTTTATATAGTCTTTACACTCTAATGGTGTGGTATATTGTCTGTGGCCCTTTTAAGCCCCAACTGAAATCACATAAAGCTGATAGATTTGGTTTTCCATGGATTTTCATTTGTGTGGGATGTAGCCACTAGGCTGCCTCTGCTCCTAGGTTAAGTTAGCATATTACTTAGCATGTTTATTAACATGGAAAGTCATAATATACTATACAGCTGTTAATGTTTAAACTGATAAAACAATGAGGATATTTTTCCTGTATGTCCTTTGACTCTCATGACTATATTGTAATATTTATTTGGAGTACTGTCATCCTTGTTAGTAGATTGCCTAAGGAGAAGCTGTTAGGACATACTTACTCAATTTGGAAATGGTTTTAGGCAAGAAGTTCCAGATAGAGATGACTTTGACTTCATTTTACACGGCTCTGCTGGTATTGCCCCAAACCCAGAATTGCACAATACATCCTGGTATGAATCTGTAACATGGACTACACAAGAGCAGAAACAGAGGGAAATAGCCATCCATTTTGTGAAGCATGATGAAATGCTTCAACATCCTGAAGACACCTTGATAATGGTAGAAGGTAAGGTAAATTGCAAATACACCAATTCTTACAGTGCTGTGTCTACTGTGTGTATGTATAAAATAAAGATGTGTTGAAGTTGTATTCAGTGTAAATAGAAATGATCATAAAGGTATCTTCAAAGAAAAGCAAAATTGAGCTGGAACTATAAGTTACTGTTGTGCAAGAAGGAGATTGTAGTTGGTAAAGGTCTTATAAGCTGCTTCTGTCTGTTTTAAAACTGTGCCAGAATATGGGGTGGTTTTTTTGCTATCTGTGCTTCTTTTTCAGTTCTAATTTAAAAACTTGCCAAGTCTTCTAAACAAGCCTGTTTTTAGTATTGATGTAGAAAGTTTTGAAAGGCTTCTGGTAATACAAGCCTCCAATTAAATTTGTCAGCCTCTGGATGTCAGTGTTGTTTCAGATTAATCGAGCTTCTCTGAGAGGTTTTTTTTTTTTGGTTTGCTGTGGTTTTTATCAGATTTCCTCAGGAAAGAGACATAGCCACTGACTTTTAAACAAAGCAATTTAGCAAGAATGCTGTTGAGGAATTTTTATATAATAAAAATAATAAATTGCATATAGCACCATTCAGAGTTCAAAACAAAGCCCGCAATTGTGCTCAAGTAGTGATGTGAATAAGCAAATGTAAGTCAGGTGGTCCTTTGTGTGAGGGTCAATGACAAAACCTCTTCTGTTTTCTGCTTTTTTCTTTAATAAATTAGTTCTGATAGCTGCTTTATTTCTGACATGTTCCCAACTAACTTCAATATAACCTTTTCTTTCTGAGAAAAAAAAATCTATTTCTTCTCTATTTTCCTAGAACAGCTGAGCAATAAAACTTCGTAAATCTCTTTTCAGATATTAAAGTGTCAGCAACTAAGTAGGTCTGTGTATGGATATGTGCATATAAAAGGTCAGTTTGGTTGCTTTGATGTTTTTCTGAGGAAATGGCTGGTAAAATCATAGGAGTAATTATATGAAAGTGATATTAACTAAGTACAACCTCTTGGTTACAGTGTTAGCTATGAGGAAGATATTAAGACATCTGCTTTGATAAATGTCTTTGTTTCTTAATTGAGTCTGCTGTTGAGTAAAAGTGAGAAGGTATTGGACTTTTTTTGAGTTTTTGGTAGTGGATATCAATTATTATTGAAGGCCCTGAAATCAGCTGAGTAAGTTGTTCAATTTATTTCTGACTACTGTTTAAGAAACCATGTTTCTTTTGTTTTTAATAGGTGGAACACTAAAAGAAATCTGGAAGCTTACAAAAAGATTCAAATGTGTTATTCCTGTGAGATCCACAGAAGATGATCTTGAATTACTAGATCTTTCAGCTCCTTTTCTCCTAAAAGGGAATGTAAAATATTATGGGTAGGTTAAAAGTATTTGTTGATATTTCACTAGTTGCAGTAATAGATAGCATTTTTTTAGTAATTCAGACTGCAGTGCTTGAAGGGATAATTCATCCAAAGATTCTCTGTAAAATACGTAGCATGATCCACAGTACTGACATCAGGGATGAAATGCCTTATCTGATACCTGGTATCAAAGGACTGACAGCAGTTGGGCTCTTGATCTATAAATCTTGCACAGCACTCCAGTTTCAGTCTTGTCTGTGGTGCGTGGGCAGGGCAGTGTAGAAATGGAAATGCACATGGAGTACAAAGTACCTAAATACCTTTCTAGTCCAGATCTTCTGTTTTCTAGTCTCACTTAGACTGAAGTCAAAATATATGTTGTTTTTAAAACTGTATGCTGAGGGGTTATATATATATGTGTATATATACATATATATATATATACAGTATAACAGATAATACTAAATAGCCTGTCAATCTACAACTCATTCTCTCTCTTAGTGTTGGAAAAGCTTGAGGTTTGGAAGCAGTAAGGGATTTTAGACAGCCTTTCCTTACCATTTGTAACTTACTGTGATCCACAGCACTGCAAAGTGCCTTACATGTTGGTGGCTGTCATTCACTGTAGAGATGACTTGAACAGGTTTCTGAATTCCACAGTTCCAAAGCTGTGGAGAACAGTACCCACACCTAGGTCTGGTCTGTGTGATCTGCCATGCAATGCCATGTTCCTGCTCAGTGAGAGCTGTCAGCAGTGTGTTCCCCCAGGGCCCAGCAGCAGGCAGCTACTGAGCTCAGAAATACCAATCTCCTCTGTAAACTACAGAGTCCTCTCTCTCAGCAGTTCAGGCACTGGGGCACTGTGCTAGGTCTGCAGGCAGTAAAAACATTTCTGTGTAGAAATATTCCATGTTTCCTGTGAACCTTAAAGTTTCCCATAAGGGGCTATCCATAAAATAAATACAGATAATTGTTTCTCTCTGTCATATATAGTTTTGACCTTTACAGATATTGCTTTTTCTAAATAAAGGCAGTATATGGATACTCCTACTGGGACAAGATCCTCACTAATACAAAATATTTCTGCTTGTACTTTCATAATCCATATCCATATATTTCCCCAGCTATACACAACTCACCTTCAGACCTTGTTCTCTTTGCAAATGGTTGGACTATAAAAGTAAATGGTTTATAAGATATTTAAGAAGGTACCTCACAAATATGCTGACATTTCAGAACTGTGTTTCATGCATGTTTTTATCAGTGGCATATACTTAGCAAAGTCTAGAAAAGATTCTATATGTGTGTGCATTTGCATGTATATTCATTTATATATAAAAATAAACACAGACACACTGAATATAGAAAGCAAAATTCACAGTTAGTTTATTGGAGTTTGGGTTTTTTAAAGGAAAAAAGTGACTTGACTTTATATCACCTAAGCAGAAGTAGTTTTATTAATAACATGCTTTGCATATAATTCTAAAATATAATAAATGTATATTTCAAGCTCTAACTGTAATATACTAATGCGGAAGCTTAATTTGGGACAAATAGTTTTGTTCTGTAATTTCATTCCTTGAGGTAAATGGGAACACCTTTGAAAACAGTTCTTCAATATTTCCACCCACTTGCAGCATTAGCTTTCTGTGTCACGTGTAATTTTATAATAATTGACGCAAATACACTAGGAATAAAATAGATTGTTTTAGCAACTCTTAGTTAATATTCTCAACATAGTCAAAGCCAAATTTCTTGTGTAACTCTTTAATGGGTTTAGAGTATGCTACAAGTTCAGATTCATTACTTCTTTTACGAAGTGAGAAGTAGTGGCATATGAACATATGTTTAGCAGTGTTGTGATCTTAGAATCATAGAATGGTTTGGGTTAAAAGGAACCTCTCATCAATTCAACCCCCTGCCTTGGGCACAGACACCTTGCACTACACCAGGTTGCTCAGCTCCATCCAGTCTCATCTTGGACATTTCCAGATATAGGGAATCCACAGATTTTCTGGACTGTCGCAGACATCTTTTATGAAAAATCCTTTCCTTAGGATTTTTCCTCCTGAGAAGCTGAGAGACCTCAGGAACAACATGTAAGCATTGATTATCTGCTGCTGTGGAATGCAACAGGTGCATCTGTGATGTTTTTGATTAATGGCCAATCACAGTCAGCTGGCTCGGACTCTATCCGAGACAGAGGCTTTTGTTATCATTCTTTCCTATTCTATTCTTAGCTAGCCTTCTGATGAAATCCTTTCTTCTGTTCTTTTAGTATAGTTTTAATGTAATATGTATCATAAAATAATAAATCAAGCCTTCTGAAACATGGAGTCAGATCCTTGTCTCTTCCCTAATCCTCAGACCCCTGTGAACACGGTCACACTGGACAGCCTGTTCCAGTGCCTCAGCTCCTTCTTTGTGAAGTGGTTCTTCTTTCTACATAATCTACATCTGCCCTCTTTCAGTTTAAAAATGTTGCTCCTTGTTCTTCACTACTGCCCAGGTTAAAAGTCTCTGTCTTTCTCATAAGCTCCTTTTATATATGGAGAAGCCGCTGTAGGGTCTGCCCAGAGCCCTCTGTTTTCCAGGCTGAACAACCCCAGCTCTCTCAGCCTTGATGTACAGTTTAATTCCTGTCTAATCACTGAAGTAGTCTTCCAGATCTATTTCTCTTCATGGATAGTTCAAAAACAGCATTGAGAGTTTTGTTGTGCTCTAAAGCTGATGTGTCTGGTAAAATAGTTACTTCAAGTAGCAATAGAAATACTTCTGTACTTCCACAGTGCAAGTTTTGTTTTTTCTGTGCAGAGTTTTGGTTTTTTTTCTATTACAAATACATCAGTGTTTGGTTAGTCTCAATATCTTGTTTTAAATGCTAGGTGCAAGCAGTGCTCAACTCCAAAGCCTATGAAGAATCTAAGTTCCATTTCAGCAGAACAGCAGCCATCATGGGAGCCAACTGAAATAGCACAAGGTTAGCTGACATGATAACTGTCCTGAAATATTTTTGTGCCTTGATTCTGAAGTGTTGATGTCAGATGGTTTGATTTGCAGTTCTGGGTTGCAGTTTTGTACAGAAAGTATGTAATTATGGTCATGTTGAATATGGTGCTGTAAAATTCATTCCCCTTATACCAGTTGAAATAACACAGTTACTTTTGGAACTATTGCAGTATGAATTAAAAGATTTTAATGTTGACTAGTTTCTTCTGGCATTGGTATCAGTAGTAACACTTAGGTTAGTGCAGAAGTCAGGAATTTTTGATTGTAGATGTTACCTTTAAACTCTACCTTCTTGTAGTCCTTGAAGTTAATCTTGCTTTTCCTTTTGTAGATACTGTTTTTCTGACCTGAACTAAAGACAGTCTTATTTATTGACTCATGCAAGTTAGACTTTTATCTTCTGTAAACGTCATGTTCCAGACAGTCTGCGAGAAATAATACTCAAATGAAAGGAATTATTCCACAACAATTATGTGTATTCTGTGCTTCATGTGTTCCTTGTGTTGCTATATGCAGTCAGTGTGTTAAAATGATGGAAATGGAGTTTAGAACTTCACAACGCATTAAGAAAAAGAAATATTTGCATATTTATAAATTCATGTTCTAACATATTAAGTTGGAATATCTAGCAGTATATAAGTTGGTAAAAACTTTGTAAAAGAATAAAACTAGTTGTGCAATACAGTGATTTTCTTAAATAAACTTTCCTAATTGTATCCTGTTAAATAATTGTGAAGTAATATCTAAGTAATATCTCTGAGACAGTGCTTGAGATTTAATTCTCAAAATGAAAACTATTAATTAATGCTTCTTGACAGTTACACTATTTTATGTATGTTTTTCTTCTATCAGCTGTGTTTTGAGGCTAAATTATAAACCTGCAAGTCTGTCAGATCAGTTGAACATAAAATGACCACCAGTTCAACTAGGTGTACCCAGAAAAAACTGATGCAGAGCAAGAATACTTTCAGAACTGCCAGCAAAGTTTTTTCTGAACAAACCTGATAGCTTTTTTTTTTTACATCATATCAAATAAACTGGTTTCCTCAGAAGATCATTTTCAGATGGAATTCTTATTACCACCAAATTAGGAACACCTTTCCTTTAATCTTCCTTGGATAAATGAACACAGGAAAGGAGGATCTTACTAAGGTTGGATCTAAGATCTAAGCAAATATTAGCTTTTTTATTCACTAGCATGGGAATAAGTACTTAAAAATATTTGTGTTTTTATAGGCTCATCTATTAAAGTGTTTCTAGGAAAATTACAGTGTGGTCCCATGAGACAAATGACATTTTGCTGTCAGACAGCAGAGCCTTTATGTTTTGGTCTGTTAATTTATACTTCTAATGACAGTATTTCAAGTCAGGTACTATTAAAAAAGGGATATTGTCAGCTCGAGTTGTTACAGTTTGCCTTGCATATCCTCTAAGAGAAATAACAATTTTTTTTCTTCAGTTTTAGGTATTGAACTGCTCCAATATGTTTTTGTTATGAAGTTTACACTGGTTGATGAAACAGGATCACTAAATGCATACCTTTTTGATGATGTAAGTAAATCTAGGTAAAGGTAGACTCTACAGATTATGAGAGTTTGGATTTTATTTGTTTTTAAAATGACAAATGTATGTGCACAAATACTCATTCTATGTTACTTGCAGTGTTTTGAGGGAGTAGTTACAGTATTATAAGCTAATACTGTACAGAGTATAGAATGTTAAAGCATAAAGACAAAACTTAAGCTTGAAGATAGATTATTTTGTATTTCCATAAACTCTTGTATATTCCTGTGGCTGAATTCCTCTTTTACTGGCAATGTTAACTTATGCAATCTGAATGCTGTGTGAATGATAAGAATGTTTCAGGATTTATGTAGCTAACTTCTTCATCAGTTTAAAATCTCATTGCCTCTTTTTTAATTCTCAATAGAATCTCTCCATTAAGTAATCCTTGATTTTTTTGTTTCACATGATCATGAGGTGAGGAGGCCCTCTTTCCCTAGGCAGCCATATCTGTGCAGATATTTATCTTGGATTTCAGAAGTAGTTTATTCAATTACTTTACTAACCTTAGAATTAACTTATCTTCAGTTTTCTCTGAAGCAACTTACACCCGTTCCTGCTACCTGAGACGCTGTCATGGCAATGTGGGGGTGACAAAATGGGACAAAAAAGGAATTTAGTGGGACTTTTTTCTGCACAGTAGTGCTGTTTAATGTGTATATATCTGTGCATATTCCACCATTATATTAAATTACTTTGACTGGGACTTTAAAGAGAATACTCCTCCTTGTTTAATTTTAATTTACTGTAAGTAAATTAATTTAATTTACTGTAAGTAAAAATAATATCAGGAAAAAAGTGTTCTTTTTTAAAATACATGGTGTTTTAACAGGAGATCAAAGACTACAATCCCCTTTTCAGCTAGTCATCTTTTCCTTCTACTGTCCTTTTTCCTTTTTATTTCCTTCGATTGCTGCAAATTGAAGCTGGGGAGAAAGATTTAAACCATCTCTTGATGCAGAATTCCAAAAATTTTTACTTCAGGGTGGCTCACTTTCTTAGCACATATTGCTCAGTACTACAGTTTAGCTGCAGGAAAATACCTACAGTTTCTGAAGTGCCAGCTGCTCGCATTCCTGCTGATGGTACTTCAAAGACAAGGCAAGAGTTTCCAAGCCTAAACTCCAGTCCTTCAGCACCACTTGAGAAGGAGCTGGGCTGCTTTGAAGTGCAGCTTTACATTAGCTTCCAGTTGTGCTTCCATAAGAACACAGTGCTTTTCTTTCCTCCTTACAGGAAAAGTCAGTGAAGGAAAAACATGAAAAGTTCTGTAGTCAGAAGACTGAAGAGAGAGAACAGAAAGTTATCTGTGTCATTTTTGCTGCTAGGTTATCCACTAACTTCTGATCGTTGCCATTAAACATGTCACACAGAAATTATACAGAGGCAGATTATTATGTATTTCTATCTTTTAAACAATAATGAGAAATTACTACCAAAAACCTTAGCTCACTATGAGAAGTTGTAAGAGTATGAACCTTTAGAGATCCCAAATCAGGTAACAAACTTGAAAAGAATAAACTTAGAGTTTTTTCAGTCATGTTTAATGTACGCAGTTTAAACATACACAGAAAATGTTTATTTAACATTTTAAAGTTCTATTTATTATTTTCTGTCTCCATTCAGAAGTGTACCTCACAGTATAAGCCTTTTTTCCATAGTTTCTAAAACTGCCAGCAGGTGAAACTTTCACTAAGAGAATTCCACAAATATAAAGCCAGGTTGCAGTGCCCCTCGTTTTCAAGTGATTTTGTTCCTCTCAAGATGTGAGGGGCTGTTGAGGGGAACTGGCCATCCTCTCTGGCCCTAACATTGTCTGATATTGTCTGGTTTTGGAGGATCATGAGGAATATCTGCCAGTTATGTATAGAGACTGACATGTGGGCTTTCTGGGTGGCTCTAGTCCCTAAATAGTCAGGGGTACTGAAAAAAAGAGCGTTAATTTTCTCAGCTTGGGTTTTTTCTATATCCAAACAGGTTTTTGAAATAATGCTATTCTTCTGTTGTGTTACCTGATTTTAAATTCCTTAAAGAACATGCAATCAAGGTTCTAACTAATGATTTTCTACAGCTTTTTCAATACCTCATATTCTTCTGTTCTCTTTCAGGAGAAGTTTTTCCAAATTCCTGCCTCTGAAATCTTAACTAGTAATTTTCTTCAGCAAAAGATGCAGATGACCATGAATGCGCTCTGTCCTCCAGGAAGAAAATTAGGTCAGTTTGCTGTTACTTTAAAAGGGGGGTGGGAAGGAAAGCAGTCTTTCAATCTGCTGTTGCATATGAAAATTCACAGAATTCAACTTAGGCACAGGCAAAACTCAATACAGGAAAACGCTGGAGCCTGAAAGCAGAGTTCATGTCAATTTGTTCTAAAGCACGTCTTTCATATTAACTCTACCTTTGAGAAAGAAAATAAATGGGTCATTAAATTCTCATGTAGCATGCAGTGGTGTGTGAATACAGCCATGCCTGTGCAGCCACTAACATGCCATCTGTATTCATATGGAAGTTAACCAGAACACCCTCGTACTGAATGTCACAGCATGTTAGGGAAAATGGAAAGGAAATTCCATTTTCCCAAAGTACATTCTTTGGGTGATATCCTGCTTTTGATGCTGACTTAAAGCATCACTTGCAATGGGAAATATCCTTGGAAATTGAGCAATGCTTAATCCAAATCTATTTACAGAGATTTTGTTGCAGTGCATGTGTTGTGGCAGAAAATATCTCTGCCTAAATTACACATGTCCAAGGTAAGTGGGTGTGTGATGCAGCTCCATCCTCCAGAGCATGCTCCAAGTACATGGCTGTCAGTGACCACTGCAATCACCCTGGAGTCTTTGCCATACTTAAAATAGTTGTTCTGTAATAAAGATTGTGAAGGATTTTCTCATTGAGACGCATGGAGGTGAAATTTTATTATTGGAAAGTCTTTACACATATGTATTCTATACTGTGGCATGACTACTGGGTCCAAGTGTTTTCTGGAGTGCTGGTGCAGGGAGGACAAGTCTTGGAAGACTGTCACTGAACACCATTTCAGGTCTTTTGGAAAACTTAAAATATACCAATTGGAATTTCAAGGTTAACAATTTTTCTTCATATTAACTATTGTATACATTTGGATATCTTAGTTAATATCTCGCTCAAGTTATACTTGCCTTCTATAAAAATAAGAAATGAATATTGATCAGTAATTTGGATTTTGTTGGTAGGTGACTTGCCGTGGCTGGAATGCTTCATCAAATCCTATAATGTCCGAGACACAATGAAAAATCAAGTTTGTTACCAAATTTTTGACACCACAGTTGCTGAAGATGTTGTATAGTCGTGTGTTGCTGATTATAAATAATCCAGTAAGACTCAGTTTCTGTGGGGGACTGGGATCAGAGACTGTATTAAAAAAAATATCTTTGTTCCGTTCTTAGGAATTCAACTTGTTTTTGTGAATTTTTTGTTATGTATGAATGGGAATGGGAATTATACTTTGATATGTTTGCCATTTTCCTGGCACACGACTTTGTGATCTAAGGGCAAGTGGAGGTGTTAAGCTTTTCACTGGAAGCTGCTTGGCTGTGGTTGATGGAAGCAATCTGCTTTCCATCTATCCTTCAAAAAGGCAATGATGAGATTACTCTAAATTTGTGAGTTTTACTCCAAAAAATGTAGTCAGGATGATGCTGTGTGTTCATTTTTGTATTAAATTGCATCACCAGACGCAGAGATACAGAGCTCTTCAGTAAACTCAGACTGCTTTGTTCAAGCCAATATTACTGTTCTCAGTTTGACAGGGAGATGGGTTTTTAGAGACTCCTTTGATTTTGTACTGATGTGTACATTTGGACAAACTCCTCCTGTTAGTAACACTCAGGTAACTGCTACATGTACCAGTTACTGTAGATTCTGATGGGGTTGTGAACATGGCCATGTAATGATTATCACTAAAATTAAAGTCAATCACAAAAGTAAGGTAGTGTAAATTTGCAAAATGAATATTGATATTTGGTAGATGGTCATGATTCTGGGGTGGCCTTGTTGGGTACCAAAGTTGTTAACATGCTTGTTAGCTGGATCTGTATTTTCAAAGGCTTGATCTGCCTTTCCATCTTACATAATCAGATTGTGTGCCTAAATTTGGAGGTACAGAACTGATCTGGTGCTATCAGGGATTGAAAATTCTGCTGGACTGGAAAACTATGTGGTGGTTTTACTTTGCATTGAGAAGTCTCTAGGACAAGTTCAGGACATGATTCTCTAAGGATAATTAATGTAGAAGTCCCTGTCAAATCAAATGCTTTCCATCAGAGCAAAATTACTTAGTATTTACAGCAGCTGTTTTTAAAGAATTTCAGAAGCAAGATGCAACATTTGTAAGTAGATCATTATTTTGATAGTAGATGACATTTTATTTTTTTCCTTTTTGAGGGCCATTTAATAGATTATGCAATTTGTCTTAAAATTTCATCACATATCCTCTGGCAATTTTCTTGTTCTGTAAAAATTACACTGGGTTTATATGTCATAAGCCAGTATATTGTTCTTTATTGATCTGTGTGTGGGGAAAACCAATATTAAAAGTGGTGAGTGCATATTTCCTTTAAAAATTTCTAAAAAATAAAAATATTTTGGAATTTATCCTGCAGTTTATCAGTGTACTGACTTAAGAATGTTTTCTTGAATTTTTGCATAATCGCATCAACAGAAAATAATTATAACAAATGAATATTATAAAACTTTGCACACTGGCCATACCCAAATGTTTTCACAAGTTAGGAGTTAAATTGAAGGGAATCTTCTTTGCTTGTATTTATATAGAGTGTGAAAACATGAATTTCTGTTTTTAGATTTTTGTTAACAATTGTGAAAGATGTTGATATTGTACATTTTTTTCTAAACGTGTCTTCATAAAGGAATAAATAAAAATGTGTTTTGAACTTTAGTGTAAAATAAATCAATTTCACCACATGCCTTATCTGAGATCCCTGCCTAAAAACTCTACAAATGCATGACATTTTTTTGCTATTGAATATTGTATTAAAATCTTTAATAAAGATTTTTCCAGATAATGAGGTTGTTCTTGTATTTGACTTTTATTTCAGTTTCATAACTATGAAAACTTTGTCATCAGTAGCTTTATCCAACATAATCCTCCAAATGAGTGGTTTGTTGGATTAAAATGTACATGTTTCTGTTTCTAAATATAATATGTAGAAATGAAGTAATAACTACATTTATTCATAGTAAGGATCGCTGCATAGAAAGCAAGTTATGGACAGACATTTAAAAATGGCTCTCATTGGTGGCCTTTGTATGGAGCAGTGGAAGTCACTGAAAAGATTTGGAGATTTGGACCTTAGTTACCTGTGCTGGTCAGTGCTGAGAGCTGTGAGTGTGTGACTGGTGGGTGAAATCCTGAGATTGGTGTGTCCTGAACGTGCAGCACCTGCAGGCTCTGGTTTCTGGAAGGTGAGCATCTCGAGCAGCAATAACTTTTAGCCATTATTTACAATTTTCTTATTTACTAGTAAAAGTCTTATTTCCTTTGGTGAGTTTCTTGACTAGGTGTGTGATTTCAGGTTTTAAAACATTAATAAAATTTCAAATGTCTACTCTAATAGTTTTTAAATTACTGAAATATGTATTTTGTTACACTCAAAATCTGAGCCAAGAGGAGATTGGGTTAATAGTGGTATACTGAGATCCAGTGAAAACTCCAGGCGTGTCTTGCTGGTTTCATATGTTTCTTCCTCCACATACATTCCAGCATATAGGAAAACTGAATCAAAACATCACCTACCTAGAAAGGGAAAATATGCATGGAATGTCAAGTGCATCACACACAGCCAACATCATCAAGGGGGAAGATTATTTGAATATAAATGGAGGAGCTGTGAGGGAAAATAATAGAACTAGACCAATAAAGGAATATGAACTTATTAATTGTTCCAATTATGGATGAGTGCAAAAAAAGTGATAAAATTGTAATTAAAAAGAAAAAATGTCAGGGAAAAAAAGAAAACAAAATAGACTTGGAATAGTGTTTTTAGGGGTACCTGTGTAATTTGGCTCCTTGAATTCTGTGTTTTAAGGGAATTTAAAAACTTAGGGACTTTGGAAGTCTTTCCAAATTGAGTTGAGTTCAAGCTCCTGGAAACTCCAGCTGAAAAGACAGAATGTAAATAAGTAACATATTGCAGAAACAAGGAGGCATTCCTGGTAGGTGACCTGCTGTTCAGCAGTGGTTGAACTTTCTCATCAGCTTTTGCAGTTACCCAGAGATTTACAGACCAGGCTTTGAAATGCTTAGCTTGATGCTAATCCTTCCCCTGCTGAGCTGCAGGAAGTGGGACTGTAAGAAGGGCGGTGGAGCCCAGAGGATACAAGCTGAGGTTTGCAACAGAAGGAAGAGAGTTATTGTCTTAGCAGGGATGAGTGCTTAGCTTTTCAATACCAGTATTTCAGATCACAAGAGTTTATGCAGATTAGGTCACTTTTTGGCTAAGTGATTGCATTAAGATGTAAAACTGGCAGGAACTGGGGTACTACCATATAGGGCAAGGCCAAATATTTAAATGGAGTTGTGAAAAATGTAAGGTAAATATATGTTCAAGTTCTTAAGGTGCAATGGGACCACTGCAAAAAATGTTACTCAGTGGGGGAGAGAAAAAAAAAATCAAATAAGAATTTATTTCAAGTGTTATTTAAAATATACATTGAATGTTAAGAATTTTAAACAAAAAATCAGAGGATTCTGATTTTTTTTTTTGGAGGAAACAGACTAAATTCCAGAGGATAGTAGTATAAACAAGAACTGATAGAGAATCTATGAGACAGTTTGCTTCAGCTCCTGTTCACAGTATTTCCCATACATGAAATTCCCAGTAGGAACTATAGTTTGGGAAAACATTCATCTGATAATGGAGTACCAGCTCCAAAGTGCGTAAAAATGTAGAGCAGCATTGAACTACAATCAATGAATTCATATTTGTGGTGGACTTCACCCCAGAACAATGTACTGCAATGTGTTTTTTGTTTTCTGCTGCAATTCTGATACATGCCTACAGAGGTGTCTCCATGAAACGGCTGATTGGGACCGTTTGTCTACGTAAGCAGAGCAGACTGAAAATCTGGGAATAAATTTACATTTTGTTGATACTTGTTTTAATTTGAATTTTTTACAAGGATATATGCTGAATGGGGAAAGACCTGCCAGCAAAGAAAAAGGTTTTGGGTTTTGGGTTTTTATATCAACTGTTCTGTTGCACAAAGCTTTAAGCATAACTTTGTTCTGTACCTTCTACTCTGTGTGTGTGCACAGCCTGTGGACTGACACTGCTAAACTGACAAAAAAATACAGTTTTGTACCAGCTGCACCTTTAGAATTGAGTCCACATTCAGGTGTAATTTCAAAGGCCAGCTATCAGATAGTTTTCAATTATGGAGGTGTTACTTCCCTGAAAGGAATTCTCTGGGTAATGGCAGTTTATAAATGCTGCTTGAATTTTTTGGTTAAAAGAGCAGCAAAACTGAAACTGAAATCTGCTGCTGGAACAGATTTAATTACAGATTTTATTTCTTTCTTCTTCTGTCTATAAATGATGCCTTAAGCAGCTCCAAGCCCCTCTGAGCAGTGTTTGAAGTGAAAAATATGATCAGTCACTGACAGGGTGTGTATTAACCAAAGGGGCTCTTTATTGTTTTTAACAGGGGATGGGTAGGGGGCTTTCACCACCCAGCTGTCTTAAATGCTGTCACTGACATACATTCATTTGCTACTCCATCCTGGAGGATGCACTTTTCCTGACATACTTACTATGCTAAAAGAGTAAAATCCCATTAGTAAGAATGGAAACATGGGAGTGATTGTGTTTGACATAAGCCAGGGATGCAGAGCTGTCACAGGCCACCTAGGCCTGCTGCCCTGTGCTCTCCTGTCACACAGAGGTGCCCTGGTACCTGCAGTCTCATGGTGTCCTGGCTCTGGTCAGGACAGGGGTAATTTTTTGCTGTAGCCAGGAGTGGGCATGGCTGGGATGCAGAGTTTATTCTGTACCACTTCACATCACTGCCAGGGGTGGGGGAAAGGGACTCTCTTCTGAGGAGAAGAGATTCCTTGCAGTGGAGTAAGCATGGCAGAGTGGGCCCTCTGGTCTACTATCAGGGATTTCTTTCCATGTGCATAATTTCTTTTCTTGTACCCTCTGTCATTAGTATTGTTGCTGTTACTGTTCATTTTCTTGTTCAATTGCTGTTTCCAGTGAATTGTTCTTATCTCAAGTTGTGACCTTTGCCTTTTGTGTCTCCGGTTCTCTTCCCCATTCTGCTACAGGGGACGGAGAGGAGAAAATGGGGGAGTGAGAGAGAGCAGAACATGGTTTGGAGAGTCTTGGAGGAGGCACTGAACTGAAAACTGCCATTCCTAAACTATGACAAATGTGTAAGGTCTCATTGCCCAGAAATTGCATTTCACTTAAAGGAAAAGAGCTGCTTCCATTACTTGCTGTTTTGTTGAGAATAAACCAAAGTGATTTTCTTTGGAAGTAAGGAGAAGGGTGAAGAATTGCTTTTTCCCTACAGGTCAGTCAATGCATTTGTTTAGCAACGTGCTGTGGCTTGGGTCCTTCTTGCAGGAAATAGAAGCAGAAAAGAAAATTTCAAAAGCTTTGTTTGAAAGGTTAGGAAAGGTCAGAAGTTACACATGAAGGAACAATGAGGAATGAGGAGTGAACCTTAAATATCTAAAGTGGCAGTTCTATAGATCAGATGTTGTACCTTGCAAATCCTAATCTGTTGACTGCTCTGCTCTATATGATTTGATAATAAATAACATTTTGAATATTATTCCAGTCTGTTGGAAGTGATTAACTAGACTAATTCACAATTATATTTCTAAATGAGTTTTATTCCTCTGGGTCCAGTTTCTGGAAATTGGTTCTATCCTTTAAAAACTATATGGTAAAAGAATTGGCAAAATTACAGTATTTGTCATTCACCAAGTGCCATACCTACTCAGATCACTCTTTCTGGCAAAGACGGTATTCCACAATGATACCTTCTAAGTGTACCTTTTCACAGCAAGCTTTTCAAGGCAGTTTAAAAATAGCAATAATTTTCAAAGCTCATTTAGCTCTGCTGTAAGGTCTAGAAAGATGTGAATGTCTGGCCTACTTTTCAATCTGGGTGAAGAGGGAGCTGATGTGATGTGATGGGGCAGGGAATCCTGAACTCTTTTCTTAGGGGCTATGGCAAAGGTACTCAAGCCTCATCTCAAATATCGAGGTCATTGGCTAATATGTGTCAGGAAAGCACAGAGCTGTACCAATTTCTCCTGTCAAGAGCACGTGCAACAAAGCAAATCAGAATTGGAAATCAATTATAATTGAACTGACACATGGAAAAATGGGACAGTGATATATTCTGCTTTTGGTAATTCAGCTTTGGTAAAGAATTTTCATCTGAAACTTAAACCAAATACTAAATAAAAACTTAATCTCATGAAAAGCATAACAAATTGCTTAAATAGACCAGAGGCCCCAGAGTATAAATACAGGCACTGTATTGAAAAGAGATTTTTTTTTTTATAGATACCATACAGCTACTTTATACTCTAGCATAACTAATCAAGATATACCAAGGTAACCAATTTTCATGTATTCAATATGTATTCAACCATAGTTAGATGAGTGCATCTCTTTGGAACTATACCTCTGTTGGGCTAGGAGGATTGGAGTGTGTGGGAAATGCAGGCACAGAGAGCTCCCAAGGCCTTGAAGGTACAAGCTCAGAGACAGAGATGGATACAGTGTTTGACCTAAGGCCTTGGAGGAGGCTTGATGCTTTAGAACAGAAAAGTGAAACAGACACAAAGAACAAAGATTTGTAGTTTAAGCAGCAGTGTGTTCTAAAGCAAGTAGAAACATGCCTCATATAAGCA